TGTACACTTTCTGTCATCTGTTCAAATGTTGAAGGTCTTTTGAGTATCTCAACAAACATGTTATTATATCTATTATATTTTTGTCTGTTATATTTCTCTGTTATGACTTACGTGTGTCTCCGCGTTATATTTGTCTTCATTTAAATTAATGTGAATTACGAACTTACTGTCCACCTTTTTTTATTACATTTTATTACATTTATTTTATCAATTTTTCGTTTTTTCGAAAACAATCCTCAAGTTTTTCGTATAAATACAACCTAGATTCCTCCTGGCTTTTCAATGTTACAGACAGACACTCCAATTTTATATATATGTTTAGACAAATTACGCAAAGAGTATATTCATTTTTATTTATGTTTTTATAAGTGAGCTATAAACTTTCGCCATCACTTTCATACGTTCAAAATATTTTATAAGCTTTGCGTTATCTGTCCTTTATTCGCTTTTTAATTTGCGGATGAAAGTTGAAGGGGTAAAACCACGCTGCAGCTATATTATGGTTGTAGCACGAATGGGTCGGCTCGACCGGGGAAGGACCACGCTCTCACAGGATACCAGCGTAAAATGGATGCTTAATACTGCTGTTTTGTATGGTGAGTGGAAACGAGGCATTCCATCTTAGTCCTCACGGGTGACAACGCATTTGCATTTTGATTTGTAATCGAGGATAGATGTAGATGTCTATGGGCCGCAGCATCCACTTACCATCAGGTGGACTGTGTGCTCGCTTGTCACACTTATTCTATAAAAAAAGGTCGAGTTAACAATTTACAGATAATAAATAAATTTGTCATTACTCAAAAGATCTTCTATCCGTCTTCTTTAGTCGGCGGAACCAATAATCGCGCAGAGACCAATTGTTGTTCATTATGTCGGTCTGTACCGAGTTCCTTGTCACCGACATTGCATCCAAGGGCAAACAGTCTACTTCAGTTACAGTAATTTGCAAAATTCCATATTATATAGAATTAAGGCTAAAATCGTAAAACATTTCCATTACTACAAGTACAGTAACTTTGACAGGCGTATGCCATTTTTTCTGGTTATTCTAAATGGACTTTTGCAAAATAAAGTACAGCTATTATGATCAAGTCGGCGTAGGTACTAAGGGTGTGCTCCAATATTCACTGTGATCACTATAAGGTGTTCAATTCGTTTTTAATTTGCTACTATCGTTTTCAGTTTTAGTTTGATACTGTTTAAAACGGAACGCAGTGTCCAGTATACTGTCATTCTCATTTTTCGACAGAGTTTTCAAATGAAAATATCGTGTAGGTACACGTTTTCTGTTCAACAAGAAAAACTATTATTTGTATGTTGTTGCTTTTAAAACTTGATGTCCGAGTTTATTTGAACACATTCAGTCGAATTGAATACCTCCTACTTTTTGAAGTCGGTAAGAAAGAAAAATATTCTTCATCCACAGCACTCGTATTACAGTCACAAGTTTCAAGGTCTAAATACGGAGGGTGCTCAAGTATTTTTTAAACCAGCATCTCGAACTGCTGCTATCAAGTTTTCAAGTATCTCACAGATATTACGTTACGATATTGTATTACTTTTTTTACTTCCAAAGAGTTTGTACCGCATTTTCACTTTTTAAACTTCCCTCGTATTTAAATGTAGCCTTCCGTATTTTGTATAATCTACGTAATGACCTGTGTCGGATAAGAAATCAAGAATTTGGTCACAAAAGGAAGGTCGGCTCGACCAGGGAAGGACCACGCTCTCACAGAATACCAGCGTAAAATAGTAGCTTAATGATGCTGTGTTTCGTATGGTGAGTGTAGAGAACCGGAGACCCTTTTTACTGGAAACGAGGCATTCCATCTTACTGCTCACGGGTGACAACGCATCTGCATTTTGATTCTTAACCGAGGATAGATGTAGATGTCTATGGGCCACAGCAACCACTTACCACCAGGTGGACTGCATGCTCGTTTGTCACCTTATCCTAAAAAAAATTAAAAAGTAGCTCTAGCCTTTAGTAAATTGGACGTGGACAAAATACAGACCCTAATAAATTATATGTAGACCATATAAAATGTTTGGATTATTCTTCTTCATCAATATAATTCCGCTAAACGCGTCTCGCGCTTTTCTGCCCTTCGGGGCTAGCCAATTTGTTTCCTACAATCGTTAACGCTGATAGAAAACTATGTCAATGAATAATATGGCAATGACGTATTATCTCTACGTTAAGTGAGTAGACACACACATTATAGTTTGTCATTATGGTTTACGATTGTAGAAAGTCTACTTGGCTAATCCCGCAGCGCAGTACCTAGGCTTCGATCGACACGTGAGGTCGCGATGCTATCGGCAAACTTGTGAGCGGGCTGTTGTTGGGATTCAAACCGATGACGTGGCATGTGTAGCTGTCGCCCGGGGCCGCTAGAGCCAAACATGCCCCTCACCTCACTCATTCCCGAAGTATCTTAAATATATAAAATCGTTGAAAGTCTTATAAAATATTTGTAAAATACACAGAAAATTAATGAATCAATATTAATACGTGTGAAGTGAGTGGTGGAGCTACGTGGAAGATCAAAGCCGATGCCGCAAAGAGGATCCGATATCCAATAAGTACATTAGATTCCAAGATAAAGAATTCATCTGATTTCCAATAAGTTAAAGAATTTTAAATCCAACGTGCTAGATCATAAAACACAAAGAGATATTTATCGTACCCGATTTCTGGTCCTCTGGCCTCTTGGAGATTGTATTCCCGATCATTATACCTCGTCAAAGAATAAAGTTCCCTAAATATTGTTATTATTTGATTTTCTTATATTTGTCTACATAGGCCAATGTTTTAAACTTTTACTTTATGCCTGAAATGAAGATTTTTTATTGTGTTGTATTGTCTATCTTACACTTACTCTTGTGTATTGCACGTATACAGGATTATCTCTATATCTCTACTGCAATGCTATATTAGTTACCCCAGGCGAGGATGGAATTACAGCGGAGCTTCTGAAAGCAAGTGGAACACCGGTACTTGAAGTCCTTCAGAAGCTTTTTAATTCCGTCCTCCATGGTGGCACTACTCCGGAGGCGTGGAGCAGAAGTGCGGTGGTCTTGTTCTTTAAGAAAGGCGACAACGCTCTCTTGAAGAACTACAGACCGATTTCCCTTCTGAGCCGCGTCTACGTGCTGTTTTAGAGAGTCATTACGAATCGTCTCGCACGCAGACTCGACGACTTCCAGCCTCCCGAACAAGCCGGTTTCCGAAAAGGCTTCAGTACCATAGACCACATACATACCCTGCGGCAGATTGTACAGAAGGCCGAAGAGTACAATCTGCCACTTTGGCTGGCGTATGTGGACTATGAGAAATCCTTTGATTCCGTCGAAATTTGGGCGGTGCTACAGTCCCTTCAGCGGTGTTAAGCTGACTGTCGGTATATCGAAGTGCTGAAGTGTTTGTACAGTAGGGCTACGATGGCTATCCGAGTACAGAACCAGAGCTCGAAACCTATCCAACTGCAGAGAGGTGTAAGACAGGGTGACGTTATATCCCCGAAACTCTTCACCGTTGCATTGGAAGACGTTTTCAAGCTACTGGACTGGAAAGGATTCGGTATTAACATCAATGGCGAGTACATCACTCACCTTCGATTTGCCGACGATATAGTTCTTATGGCAGAATCGCTGGAGGACCTAAGCACTATGCTCAATGACCTCAATGGTGTCTCCCAACGGCCTATAGGTCTTAAGATAAACATGGACAAAACAAAGATCATGTTTAATGTCCATGTCACACCTATGCCGGTGGTTGTTGGGAGCACTAAGCTCGAAGTTGTTGACGAGTACGTTTACCTGGGACAAATAGTCTGACTAGGTAAGTCCAAATTCGACCGCGAGGCCAATCGACGGATTCAACTTGGCTGGGCAGCGTTCGGGAAATTACGACATATCTTCTCGTCAGGTATACCTCAATCTCTAAAAACAAGATTTTACAACCAATGCGTGTTGCCAGTGATGACTTATGGATCTGAGACGTGGTCCTTCACTGCTGGCCGTATGAGGACGCTCAAGGTCGCTCAGCGAGCTATGGAGAGGGCTATGCTCGGAGTTTCTCTGCGTGATAGACTCAGAAATGAGGTTATCCGCAGTAAAACCAGAGTGACCGACATAGCCCAACGGATTAGTAAGCTGAAGCGGCAATGGGCCGGCCAGATAGCTCGAAGAACCGATAACCGATGGGGAAGAAAGGTTCTCGAGTGGCAGCCTCGTACCGGTAGGCGTAGTATAGGGCGACCCCCCACTAGATGGAGTGACGACCTGGTAAGATATGCAGAAAGTCGATGGATGCAGGTGGCCCAGGACCGTGCTTTGTGGCATTACTTGGGGGAGGCCTATGTTCAGCAGTGGAAGGGCTGTAATATGATGATGATGATTAGTTACCGTTACTGCCTATAATGTATTAAAGTCCACTGTTGAACATAGGCCTCCCCCATAGATTGCCACATACGATTTGCTATAGTTGCCACGCTTGGCAAGCGGGCTGGCAACCGCTATTTTATAATTTTGTATTGTTATAAGGAAGATCGTTCTGCCCATCTCCTGATTCAGTTTCCCACTGTCGGCTCTTACGACACTCACGGGGTGATATGGGGATGGGGTAGTGGGTACTCGCCACTACACGGCCAAATGTTATATTAGTGCTCGTATCATTTTAATCAAAAATAATCAGTGACAGCAAGTTTTCAGAATTTTTTGAGATTTTTACCAGCATCATTTTAATCCCGGTTACCTGCGACAGGTGTGGTTGTCAAGTACTTACTTCCTCCGATTAGGCTGTGCAGAGGCGTTCAATTATCTTTATCTTTTATTATTTACAGGTGAAATGGTTAAATAATGTCTTTTCTTCTTTTCAGATTGAAATGAGAGCGAGCTAACAAGAAATCAATTTGTCCAATCTATTTAGGAGTATAAGTTCAAAGAAGCACAAGTCCAATTAGCAGTACTTAATTTATAAGAGTTTATTCGCAATGGATCCCGGTTACTTTGACATTGAGAGGAAGCAAAACCCGCGTGAGAAGGCCAACTTGTTCTCAAAGTTGTGTTTCTGGTGAGAAATTTATTTATTTTTTAAATGTAGCATAATGATATTAGTTACAAAATACCCGTGTTCTCGTGTCATATTGTGTTCTCCTGGTAGTTATCGAGTAGTGTTCTGTACTACTCGGAAATGCCGGTTATCACAATTTGTAGGAACATTTAGCGTTGCCAGGCGTCCGGATAAAGCCGAACACAGTCAGGCATTTTTGTTGTGTGTCTGGCCAAATCTGACGGTGTCCGGCCTGTCCGGCTTTTTTTTAGGCTTTTTAAATTTGACCATTCCTTTACATTTTTCATGTACTTGCGTACATACTACAGCAATTATTGAAATTAATATTGTAATGAATATTGAATGCTTAATGATAAAGAAAACTAAATTATTCAATTGTTGTAATTTCATTAGAATTTAAGTAGAAAATTATCGTTTCACTAACACTAAATATTAAGGGTGTTCGGTCTTTTCACCAAAATGTTCGGTAGCTCGCTGGTCTATCCGGCTTTTTGGCTTTAAGACCTGGCAACCATAGGTACATTTGATTAATCATTTGCGAACACATCAGCACATCCTTTGTAAACATGTCCAAAATTTATTCTAGATTGCAATTTCGTGTTAAAAAAATTAGGGAGGTTAAAAAAATTAGTACAGCCATAAAATATTTAAAAGATATGTCATAATTGTTTTCCACACATGGATCTGTAAATTTTTGCGTATGTGAGTGACCGGTATTAGCGCCAGCTGGGTTTACCCAGATTGTTGGTAAAATGTTAGAGTTAGGTGTGTGGTGTTGCAGTGGTTCATGGGGAGCGGTATTCATATGACATCAGGTCCTCTCAGGCTGTTCTATAAAAAGGTGTCGGAGCCACGGGGAAACATAACAAAAGTTCGAAAACCAACAGCTTCTACTTTGTACAAATGTTGATTCTGGCTGAGATTCGAACCGAGTATCTACGGCGTGGTAGCCAGATGCAATAACCACTAGGTCACGCCGTCAGTCAAATTAATCTAGTATCTAGTATAAGAGGAGGCAAACGAGCATATGGCTTAACTGAATTCTAAGTGATCATCTCTTACTTATTTCTACACACATTAACATCTGCAACACGAGAGGAAAGATGTATGGCCGTTCTTTAAAGAAGTTTAGCATCTTTCCTAGAAGGACCCCTAATCATGTCAGCTCGGAAAAACTGTTGAAGACGGTAAGATTTCACAACATGGTCGTGCGTGGTAGAAAATATCTGGTGATCTGGTGAAACGCACGGTGGCGACGCATTAGTTTGACTTTTAACATAACTTTAATTGTTAACAATTTCTATGTTCTAACATTTCAGGTACACCCGTCCAATATTTCAAAAAGGCCGAAAGGGACAACTCAGTATTTCAGATATATACAGGTAGGTGTGTTTAATAAACACTTTTAATTGCCAAATGAGCTCACAATACACTGTTACTGATGATCATCATCATACAGTTCATCACAAGTCCACTGCTGAATATAGATCTTCCTCAAGGAATGTCACACAACACGGTCCTGAGCCACCTAGATCCTTCGACTTCCTGTATATCATACTAGGTCGTCAGTACATCTATTGGGAGCCAGCCCTATACTTCGCTTACATGTACGTGATGTACGAGGTTGCTACTCGAGGACCTTTCTTCCCCACCGATTGTCGGTTCTTCAAGCTATATACCCGGCCCCTTGCCACTTTAGGTTACTGATCCGTTAACACTGGCTAATCGCCATTAAAGCCTTTGGATACGTGTAACCAAATATTAGTTTTTTATCTGATGAAAGTTTATCGTGATGAAAAATATCGATCGCTGTAGAAATACAAACCAACTTTTGATAATAGATAAAGATATTATTATTATTTTTATAATCACAGATTTTCAGTACAATATATTGTTTCGCTTAAATACGTACGATTTATGTATAAATATACGTCCTGGATATTATGGAGTGACCTGAAGGTGTACTTCGGTATCTGCTAGTGGAACTTCTCGAAGAGTAGAAATAAGTGTGCCGAGTTTGGCTTCGCTTTGTTAGTTTTGATGAAATCTTACCTCCGGACGTGATAGAGTGACCTGAAGGTGTACTTTAGTGTATGCTGAATTAAAATACCGCTTATGACTAGATGAAAAACTTTTGAAAACGTAATAAAGTTGTTGAGAAAAACATTACTAACGAGTCAGGTAAAAAATACTAGTTTTTACGATAATGCCCGAGTTCAAATACCTAAAAATTAAAGTAATATTAAAGTTGACAAAACTGAAGATCATTTTAAGATAATTCTGTTAAAAGTTTTTTCAATAAAAAAAATTGGATCTTAACAATCAGATATTTAAATTTAAAAAAATATTTTCTATTGTTGATTGAGAATTTTTTCTAAATTTTTTCACGGTCATATGATAAGCATGAGTCGTGCACTTTTGGATTATCCAATTTTTTTATTGACGTTTGAAATAAAATTATCGGAAAATTAGAATGTAATAGTAATAATGATATTTGTAAAAATTTGTGTGTATTTAAAATACTTTAAAAAATTGTCCTATAACATGAGCGCCTGAAACGCTGTTTATGTTATTTGGATTTACCAAAAGTTTTTTTAAATAAATTCCTTATAAACCAGTTTTTAATTATGGTCTCTTAAGTGATAACATATGAAAATATTAGGTAACTATTTCACGTGTGTCGGCGCCGAAATTAGAACTGACGTAGTTCACGTCCTTCGAAAACTATGTCGAGTTCTATGCCTATCTATGGGGGGGGGGGCTAGCTAACATGGTGCAATAGATTATAAATTATGCAAGTTAAAGTTATAATAAGTATCACTTTCATTTGCCCTGTAGGTGTCGTGGGAAAAGATAGGACGAGCACCCAGTCTCCGATAGGTGGCGATCTATCATCTAGTATATAGTATCCGACCGAAGGTCGATTTCAGATTGGAGCTGAAGCCAAACTCGATTTCGGCTATCGTCACTACCTTTAGCCGAAGCCGTAACCTAAGGAAAACCCTAAGAAATTCAGTTCAAGATAGGCTAAAATTAATAATACAAATGATTTTAAAACTTTATCAATTTACTGTATTATATAAAAAGATAATTTTAATCACCCCTAGCAGTTGATCTAGAGATGGTAAAAATTACGTCACCACATCCATCGCGCTCTTGCTCATTTGTTACATTTCGTCCAATTTCGGCGCTTGCTAGAAACGGCCAAAATGGCTGAAGCCGAAGATTTAACAAGGGTGTTTTTTTGGCCAAAAGTGGCCATTCCGCTTGGTAAATGTGGCGATTATGGCAGAATACGGGCTAAGCAGCAATATTAATAGCAGGAAAATTATCAAATTAGATATAATTTTTGCATTCAGATGCACTCCAGGGCATCGAGCAGCGCCGCGGGGAGATGTAATGGCCGAGCAGTGGAAACACCAGAAGCAAAAACAAGGTCATTTTCCGAAATATTCTTAAGTAAGAGTTAGATTTTTAAGCGCGAAAGAGCCGTGGTAGCTCAGATGATTAACGCTCGCTGTAAAATAACAGAACGCGAGTAACGCGGGTTGGATCCCCGCCGGCACCAATGAAAGTGTTAATTGCAATTTTAAGTGCTGATTTACCACGTGCTCGGCGGTGAAGGAAAACATCGCGAGGAAACATGCATGTCTGAGGAATAACAAAAAAAATTCGAACATGCGAGGTTCGCCAACACGCATTGGGGCAGCGCGGCGGACACTTCCTTGCCCCAAACCCTCTCAGAAATGAGGGGAGGCCTGTGCCCAGCAGTGGCACGTATATAAGCTGTAACTTTACTTTTAACTTTTAAGAGTTAGATTTTTAATATTGTTTTATTATTTGATTTTTTAGTGTTTACGTTTATCTTATATTTGACCTAGTAAAATATTAAAATGTTATTAAAATAATTATATTATTTATTTGGATTTAAGAACCGCAATAATTGATTGCCTAAAAAGCTGTACAATTACTTATTTTAAAAACTACTTAATATGTTTATTTTTACTCATTACATTTATTTTATATCAATGATAAGTTAAAATAAAAAAAAAAAACAACGTGACTAGGTTTGCCACCTTTTTTTGAACAAATAAGTATAGTATTTTTCCCAAAAAAGATGCAAAAATATAATACTTTTGAAAAATTCAGGAGAAAAAAGTACACATTTATTTATAAGTAATCCTTATGGATTTTTCTATTATTTCCATCTCAATTCATATTATATTATTACCTTCGAAATAATTATAGGAGTCTGAGCAATGGCGATTCATAATAAAATAAATTAACATTTAGTTTAAAAAAAAAATAAAATATTTCCAATGTCAAATATGAATAAACTTATAACTGCATTATACAATTAGAACTCGTGATAGTCATAATATGATATTTTATTTATAGCCTTTTTGAGTTAATCGCTCATAACCAAAGAGTATATAACGCATTATGACTGTTTTTGTGATGACAAGTTAAGAGAAGATTGGAATTAAATATTTATTTTATATATTAAGTATTCTATAATTTAGCTACATTATGTATACTCGTATGTATCTTCTGTTATACAAGTTGTTTTTTTTATAGGATAGGGTGACAAATGAGCACACAGTCCATCTGATGATAAGTGGTTGCTGTGGCCCATAGACATCTCGATTATACATCAAAATGCAGATGCGTTGTCACCCGTGAGGACTAAGATGGAATGCCTCGTTTCCAGCAAAAAGGGTCTCCGGTTCTCTACACTCACCATACAAAACACAGTAGTATTAAGCTACTATTTCACGCTGGTATTCTGCGAGAGTGTGGTCCTTCCCCGGTCGAGTCGACCCATTCGTGCTACGACTATACTACTAATACTTATAACTGCTGTATGGCTCTACCACGTAGAACAATGGTAAAATTATTATTTTGCATTAATGAGTGCCAGAGTTTTAATTTAATATCAAACAATGACGTAAGGAAGATATTGCGTTGCAGTCTCATCGAGCAAATATTAACATTAATATTGCATTATTTTATCTTTCGTTACAGATAAAACCAACAAACCGTCATTGTTAAGAACCATAGTCAAAATATATGGCGCCAAATTTATCATAGCAAATTTGATATTTGCGTGTATAGACGCCGGTATAAGGTGAGTATCAACTATCTATTCATAGTTATAACACGTTAACCGTGTAGTTGCGGTGTAAGAAGATCCACTACGCCATATGGTCCCGCGGGTGTAGCAAGAAGCGACGGAGGACAGGAAACCAAAAGTGAAATAATACTAGTTTTTACGGAATTTATCGCGTATATTTTAACTTTTTAAATACCCGACGTTTCGAACGCTTTACAGCACTCATGGTCACGGGCAAGACTGAGATGTTCAACGTCCATATGTCACAGTTAACCGCGGTTACCACAGATTAAAATTTAACTTTTGTTCCGATCTATGCAGTATGAACTTATGGTATCTTGAAGTCTTGCAGTTGTATGCTTGGGTTGGGATTTAATTTTATTTATTATAGGATCCCAAGCAGATGGTAGCACCCAGCCATCTTCTCTATTGAAATTAGGATGTTTTTTGATTTCAATAGCCTCGCGAATCATCCTTGGAGGGAATCGGTGTTCTTTAGCGAGGATCTGCGGTCTATCAAATCTGATGTAGTGACGGGGGCGATCCTGTACGTGTTCACAGACTGCAGACTTCCCGGAGCGTCGATTCTTCACATCAGCTATATGTTCTTTAACTCGAAACGTCGGGTATTTAAAAAAGTTAAATATACGCGATAAATTCCGTAAAAACTAGTATTATTTCAATGTGTAGTGTTCGCGTAAATATAAGAAACCATTATGTAAACCAAAAGTGGGCAGTAGCGTCTTCCTAATTTCAACTAAAAAAAAACTGCGGTCGCCAACACGCCTGCCAAACATGGCAATTATAGCAAGTATCCTTACTGCGAGGCAATCTAAGGGTCCCCCATAACTTAACATAGGCCTCCGCCTGTGTTTACCTTATGTTATGTTCCGCAGTGGACTTTTGTAGCCTGCAATGGTAGCGGTAACGGTAACGCGTTTAGTTTCACTGTAAGTATACGCCGGAATATTTGTAGTTGTGACCCGATCATTCAAGTATTGATTCGTCTTACTCTGTGATCTGTGAGACTCGCTCGATAATGACGGTCGTCGGACATTACTACACCCTTTGGTCGTAGGTCCTGTCAATCGTACGATCCGGAACGTTCAGAAAATGTAATTGCAATCGCCAACACTACGATGCGGACGCAGGTCAAATGAACAAATCATTCACGATTTATACAACATGTCTAATTTGTACATTTGATGTGTGTGATTTTTGTGTCCACTGTAATCGTTCTTTAAAAGAATTAAACTGAATATAATTATTTTTATTCGATATAAATTTGTGTCAATACTCCGACCTCCTAGTGTTCTCAATCCCGATGACTTTAAACTCAAAATAAAAGATAGTTTCCTGTGTCTAGAAAATTGCGATATGGTATACAATATCAGTAATGAGTTCGTGGAAACTGTGCGTGCGGTCTAAGCAAATATTGCAAGACCCATCGCAGCAGGATCCAAAAAACCAAACACTTAATCTAATAGCTGCTAGATGGAAAATGAGACCGCAGTCTTCAACTGAAAATGAGACCGCAGTCTTCAACTGATATGTCGGCTTACAGGCTATTGAACAGAAAGATCTCTAAATAAATAAGGCAAGCGTTAGCTTCAATACAGTTTGTATGATGAAGCAAATTGAGCGGAACCAAGGCTCTAAAACCTGAAAGATCTTTCGAAATAGAGTCAATTAACAAAGTTAAAGACTGACAGCGGCAGCGTTATTTCAAGGTGCTGGAGATTTTGAGTGAGATCGAGAAGTTTATTGGGCAGCTGCACAAATTGTCGATATAACCGCACGCAAGTGTGAGTAATGACCTAAAAGCAAGTCTCGTCTGCTTAAATAAATAAAACAATTTTTGGCTTATTAATTACATATTATTATTATATATACCATGTAATTATTAAAGCAACGGCACATAACAATTTCAGCAGTGCTCGCTGTGATCGAACTTGCGATGCTTGCGCATTGAAAAGTTTTAAGTGGAGCGTTTATCTTCTGAGCTACCGACGATAGTTACAACTCTATTTTATTTACTCTCATGCTAATATTACTAAAATATTAAAACACAAATTGCTTTTGTAATGGTAAACTTCTTATAAATATAAACGTGATTTTGAATACTAGCAATGCTTAGGTACTAATATTCCCGTCATCGGCTAATAGTGGAGTACATTGCCCCATGACTCAAACTAAACTTCTTAGAACATGTGCTAGAAAGTTGTTCACGACAACGATTGTTTGCTGAATTTAAAGCTACGATGCCCAGTATCGCAGTTCATACTGTAACTCAGTTGCTACTGATATCGAATTCCAATTATACACATTTTTATTATATTTTCGTTTGTACTGTTGAAACAAAGATGTAATAATGTGTTTGTATGAACGATGACGAGAACTGTAGAATCAATAATTACTATTACATGTAAGTTTTTAGTGTAGAAAAGACAGAAAATTTTTATATCTGTAAAATAGAGCAATGGTCCCAATATTGATCCTTAAGGTACTCCCAAAATTAAAGTGTTACAAGGTATTCTGTTAATAAAATTTTGTAATCTATCTATCTAGGATTTTAAGGCTAAGTTTTAAGACACAGTAATTCATAACGCCTTCGTTTAATAATGTTGTAATTATAATAAAATTATTTATACAAATAAACGCCTTTGAAAGGTCACAAAAAGCGTCTTTAACATCTCGCTTACTTTTCTAACCTAAATGCATTTGTTTGAGAAATGTAGAGCCTTCGTCAGATCTTTTTCGCTATTTTAATTTATAACACTAAAATCTAATAAAGCTTTAAACACGTGTGAATAACGACTCACACCTGTGAAAAAATGTGATAGTCTTGAATTTTGTCAAAATTTTTAGTTTAGCGTAACGTTATTTTTTATATATTTTCAGATTGTCAATACCGATGTGTTTAGAAGGCCTTATAAATTATTTTTCACCATCGCACGCAGGAGTCACGTCCACCGAGGCGTATCTGTACGCATTGGGCGTAGTTGGGTGAGTGCTGTTTAGTATGTTTGTCATGATAGTGACATTAGTTTGACTAAGTTTCACGTAATGATAAGCGGCCAGTACCCATGAGCATCTGTAGCCAACTTCTGAGAAATAAGATGGCCCATAGTCCGTAATTTTAAGCTTTACTTAATGACGTAGGTATTTTATAAAATTGATGCGACACGCGAACAGTCACACTGATGATGGCTACTGCCCATAGATACCTGCAGCCAGCTTAGAACGTTACAGATACGTTGTAACCACTGAGGAGTAGGTTGGAATTCATTTAGCTTGTAATTATACCCTTACTCGTTGTACAAAATAGTGAGAATATGATTGTATTGCTGCTTAGCAGTAAAAAAAGAAGGTTTTTCACGTGGCAGAGCCATATTGCAACTACAACTATACTACTGATAAGTAGTATAGTTGTAGCTTGTAGCACAAACGGGTCGGCTCGACCGGGGAAGGAACATGCTCTCACACAATACCAATGTAAAACAGCAGCTCAACACTGCTGTGTTTCGTATGGTGAGTCTAGAGAACTGGAGTCCCGTTTTACTGGAAACGAGGTATTACATCTTAGTCCTCACGGGTGAGAACGCATCATCATTTTGATTCGTTATCGAGGATAGATTTAGATGTCTATGGGTCACTGAAAACTCTTGCCATCAGGTGCACTGTGTGCTCGTTCGTCACCGTTAACTCTAGCCAAAAAAGTAGTCTTTAACTTATGTTTTAGATATAAAGGTTTAATAGTTGTAAAAAAATCTAAAACATGGAATTCGTTTGCAGCGACTTCAAATTTACATAAAAAAGTTAAAAACTAGATATTTCGAAACATATTCCCGCTGGGTATACATGTTGACTTAAAGCAAAATTACATTCTTGCTGTACTTTTAAAATTAGTTATAAAAGGTGCGAAATAGATCAGCGTATGCTTGAAGAATTTATTAAAAGAAGTGCCATTTCATTTGGGATTTTATGTAATCTTCAGCATCATTAAACAAGGTTAATTATGATTTACCATAAGACTCCTCTAACCGTAATTTCTATCTTTAAAACCAATGTCTCTTGTTCTTTAACTTATGAAAAAAAAACTCGTATTTTTCTATACAAAATAAAACTACTACAAAAGATGTCTATGTTTTGTATTACTCTGTAGATGTATTGCAATATCAGTGATGTTGAAATACTTCAACGCTGCGCAAATATGTTAAGGTTTATAGTAGTAAAAATTTAGAACTTTTTTTGATTACTACTTGCGAGCTGCTCCGGCTTCGCACGGGTGATCTCTGGATCTCTACAACAGTGTCACATACTGGATTCAATTGTGAAACTAAACCATACTGGGACCCACTCAAACATACACAAAACATCAACAAAATCAGTCGAGCCATTTTTGAGTTTTAGAGATGCTATACTACGGACAATTGGTTTTCATAATACGTCTTTACCTATAAACGTTCTGCAGTATTTCAAATCAAAATATTTTTTTTGGCTAAGAATTCTAATTTCAAATTAATTTTATTTTAAAAACATGGAATTCTTTTTGTAAATGGGTCGTTTGTTTATTGATTAGCTTAATATTTTCATCGCATTTGAATCTTTTTCGTCATAATGTATATATTAAAAATTCGAGTAATTATGGAATATGAGTACCGTTGTAGCAGTAACGCGGCACAATCGGTACGCAACATCAACAACTTTTACGGAGCGTATACTATAAACGAACGCACCACCTGTAATTGGTTTGCCCGCTTCCGTTCTGGAAATGTTGACCTGAAAAATGAACGCCGTGCTCGTCCGAAAACTTTGGTTGACAATGACGAATTAAAGGTGCTTGTGGAAGCTGCTTCTCCTCAATCTACGTCTGATTTAGCAGTAGTTTTCGACGTTAATATCAAAACAATATTGGTCAATTTGTGTCAAATTGACAAAGTAAAAAAGCTTGACGAATGATCGCCAGCGCGAAGTATGCGTCGGGAAGTGCCTTGCACTGCTCAACAGTCACACAAAAGAAGAAATTTAAAACCGCATTGTAACAATGCTTAAAAAAAAAAGCTCTCCGTCATCCGCCGTACTCACCAGATCTTGTGCCTACAGACTTCTACATTTGCCAGAATTTGGATAGCTTTTTGACGGGAAAAAAATTCAATACTCAAGAGGCTGTTGTGATTACTTTGAATATAAATAAAAACTACTATATTTCATAAAGAACTGCAATTTTATTAGTAAAGACCTAATACCCATTACGTTTAAAAAATTCGCAGAACTAAAATGGCTGGTTTTCAAGATAGGAATTATAGCCTGTATAGAATCTTAATTTAATCGAAGACCTCGTATCTTCGATGTGGTAGCTCAGATGGTTAACGCTCGCTGTAAATAGAACAGAACGCGAGTAACCCGGGTTCAATACCCGCCGGCACCAATGAAATTGTTAATTGCAAATTTTAAGTGCTGATTTACCACGTGCGTGGCGGTGAAGGAAAACATCGTGAGGAAACCTGCATGTCTGAGGAATAAGAGAAAAAAATATTTCGAAGACATGTGAAGTTCGCCAACACGCATTAGGGCAGCACGGCGGACACTTCCTTTCCCTAAAACCCACTCAGAAATGAGGGGAGGCCTGTGCCCAGCAGTGGGACGTATATATGCTGTAACTTTACTTTACTTTTACTCGTATCTTTACAGATTAATGGCAATAAACGCCAGTATGATACATCCGATGTTACTCTGGTTGCTGACCATGAGTATGCAGATAAGGGTTGCGTGTTGCTCTCTCATATACAGAAAGGTAAGTGCAATTCATTTCTACTTTTACTTTGCAGGTCATAGGGTCGAATTTGTCGCGGTTTCGTTTTGTTTGCATCGACTTATCCGGCTAAGAGGATACCTTGGAAATGAAACGTAGTTTTTGGGGCGTGGCTAATTCCTTTGTCGGTGAAGCTCACGGACGACTGAGGGAGTGTCAAAATGAAAGCGATGCAATGACTTCATAATACGCAGATTATGAGATAGCTATAACGAGCACACGCTCGGAAAAAACTAAGTAATCACCAAACAACATTTTTTTTTAACAAAACTATGTTATGGATAAAAAAATGATATTTATGAGAACTAAGATATGATTATTTACTATGTCTTAAAAATAATTCCATGAACTTATTCGTAAAATTATTGTGGTGTCATGGAAAAATGTAACTAATTAGAGCCTACTTTGGAATTTTTTTCTATCGAGAAAATTTCATGATATCATGTTTTCCTTTTACGCAATCCAAGGTCGAAAATTTTGGTTTGTAATCTTTAAAATTTTAAAAAATATGTGAAATAGAAAAACCACCAAATTTTAGAGGTATCACCTTAACGATTTTCCGTCCAATCTTTTTTTTTATAGAAGAAGGGGTAAACGAGCATGCGGCTCACCTGATGTTAAGTGCCTACAGCCGCCCATGATCAACCGCAACACCAGATGAATTGCAGGTGCGTTGCCGGCCTTTTAGAAATGAGTAAGCTCTTTTCTTGAAGGTCCCCAGGTCGTATCGGTCCGGAAAAATCGCCGGTGGTAAACTATTCCACAGAGAGGTCGTACGCAGAAGAAAACTCCTTTTGAAACGTACAGTGGTGGACCGCCAAGCATCCAGATGGTGTGGATGGTATCGGGACGTTTGCCGCGTAGTGCGTTCACGAAATTTGGCGGCTGGGATTAACCGAACAATTCCTCAGAGCACTCCCATGGTATATGCGAAAGAAAGTGCAAAGAGATGCAACATCTCTTCGCAGCGCCAGTAAATCGAGCCTATCGGAAAGCACTCGGTCGTTGACGATTCGAGCCGCTCTACGCTGGATACGGTCAAGTGGAAGGAGCTGGTACTGGGGGGCCCCAGCCCAGAAATGGAAACAGTATTCCATGTGCGGACGAACCTGCGCCTTGTAAAGTTGCAGGCGGTGTGCCGGCATGAAATACTGTCCCGCTCTGCTGAGCACGCCAAGCTTTTTGGAGGCCAGTTTGGCCTTCTCTTCCAAGTGACCACGAAACTGCACGTCAATTGATTTGTCGATGCCGAGGATACCGATAATGGCTGAGGTAACAAGGGGAGTGCCTTGAAACTAGGGAGATACGACAAAGGGGTTCTTTTTAGCGGTTAACGCGCAAACTTGTGTCTTCACTGCTGTTCTGGGGGATATACTGGACTAGATTTAGGCGCCCCCCAATCCGAGACTCTGTGCAGCAAAGACTCGACTTCAGATACAAGTTTGTCCCGGTACTCGGAGACGTTTTCCCGAGAAATATTGGCACGGCCGGTGTACAGAGCATCACCAGTGCTGTCATCTGCATAACAATGCATGTTACGGGATTGCAACATATCATTGATATGCAGAAGAAACAGCGTTGGCGATAGCACGCAACCTTGTGGGAACACCAGCATTAATAGCCTTGTAATCGGAGCTTGCACCGTCTACAACGACCTTGATGCTCCGATCTGCAAGAAAGCTGGTGATCCATCGCACAATTTCTCGGGAAGACCATAGGAAGGGAGCTTCGAAAGAAGCGCTTTGTGCCAAACACGATCGAAGGTCTTCGCAATGTCCAAACTAACGGCCAATGCCTCCCCGTTGGACTTTACTGCCTCCGCCCATCTATGAGTTAGATAGACCACAAGTTCACCAGCTGATCGACCACGGCGAAAACCGTATTAGCGGTCACTAATCAGCTGGTGATCCTCAAGGTATCTCATGAGCTGGCAGTTGACAATGGACTCCATTGTTTTGGAGAACAAGGAGGTGATGGCGATAGGCCGGTAGTTGGACGGGTCTGAGCGGTCGCCTTTTTTAGGGATCGGGTGGACGAAAGCCGTCTTCCATGATTTTGGGACTACGCCTAGGGAGTAAGAGTACCGGAAAAGACGAGTTAAGACCGGTACCAACTCTGGAGTACACGTCCTTAGCACAATTGGGGGGATACCGTCAGGCACACTCGACTTGTGGATATCCAGGAAGAGGAGTGCTTTGCGAACCGGGTGCTGTGTAAACTGCACTTCCGGCATGGAGCACTCACACCGCGGGATGGTCGGCGGCGTACTCCCTCCGTCAGCGAGAGTCGAGTTAGACGCAAAGAAAGAGCCTAGCAGATCGGCTTTCTCCTTTGCGGAATGGGCCAGTGAGTTGTCCTCCCTGTGCAAAGATGGAAGAGTGGCTGACAGAAATTCCCCTGGACAGCCTTGGCGAGAGACCAGAATGCACGGGTTCCAGAAGGAAGGCGAACTAGTTTCTCGCCAATTCTGCCTATGTGCTCTGACTTTGCCTTGGCAATGACTCTTTTGAAGGACCTAGAGGCGGAATTATACTTTTTTTTTAGAGCGCTGGTGTTTTCAACCCGGGAACGTTGATGCGTCAATCCAGGCTTGGTAGCACTCCTGCATATAGCATGATGCTATTTTACAGGAGCGACCAAACCATGGCTGAGATTTGCCTCCAATGGGCACCACAGAGGAAGGAATAAAAAGTTCCATACCCTGAAGTACCACATCAACGACAGAATCCGCAACAATGTTGGGATTGTCTGGCGAGAAGCAAACCCGCCCCCCAAGTGTAGGATGCAAAGAAAGACCGCATTCCATCCCAATCGGCTGGCCTATAGTGCCAAACACGGCGGCAGCGTGCAGAATGTAGCTGCGATTTCAGCGTGAGTGGCACCACACTCCGGACAAGACAATGGTCCGAGGAGCCTAAAGGGGCGTCGACGGAAATCTGATATCCGTCCGGGTGAGAGGTCAGCAGAAGATCCAACAGGGAAGGTGCATGATTCTCCACATCTGGAATCCGCGTAGGCGAAGTAACCAGTTGTGTCAGACCATATGCCAAGGCAAAATCATGAACAGATCTCATCGCATGATCGGTTAAGCGTGAACCAAGCCATTCGGCGTGATGGGCGTTAAAGTCGCCGAGGATCACAATCTCTGCGGAGGGGATCTGCTGTAGCAACGAATCTGTAGCCATTTGGACGTGGTCAAAGAGTCGGTCTGTTTCGGAATTACCGCTATGGGATCTATAGAGGCACCCGTAGACGCGCGGATAGTCGTCGCTGTCTACGCGTAGCCAAAGGATGGACAGGTCCGAACCTTCAAGTCTGCCAAGGCGTCGAGAACAGATGTCCTCTCTAACGTAAACGCAAAATCCAGCCCGAGGCACAAAGGAGTGTTCCAGTTTGTACCCTGGGTAGGAGAGATACTAGACATCAGCCGGAGAGGACACCTGCGTCTCGGTCAGAAAGAGCAGAGCCGGCCTCGCCGTCACGAGATGGTAGTGGACGGCGTTTAGGTTAGAGTGAAGTCGCCTGATATTGCAGAAATTTAAGGATAGCGTGGCAGGGGTTGCCTTGGTCTTGTTGCTCCGTTTGCCCCGAGCAGTTGTAGTTTTGAGCGGAATTTTGAGCATCTGTTCGTGGGAGTTATTGTAGTTGGTATCAGCTTTTAGACTATTCATAGCTAAGCGATTTTATACTGTATTTTTATAGAAGTAACAAACGTCCTTGTCGGTCATCTGTTTCTTAGTGGCCTTTCCAGCTGGCCATCGAAAGAAGATTTTATTTTATTTTATAGAATAGCTTAGGAAACGAGCATGCGGCTCACCTGATGGTAAGTGTCGACCACCGCCTATGAACAATTGCAACACTAATGGGAATTGCAGGTGCGCTGCTGGCCTTTTATAAAGGAGTAGACTCTTTCTTGAAGGTCCATAAGTCGTAACGGACCGGAACAATCGCCGATGGTAGACGATTCCACAACAAATTTAGAGGTGGTCCTAAAACGGTGCCCTCCCATTTTATCCCCGCTTACCTATTTCAGCTGTTAATCAGCACTGCGTGCACAACTTTCTTCTGGTTTCGGGCCAGTACAATATCACGTAGAGAGAGTATAATATTAGTCTGTGAGGAATTCTATCTAAGTCCTCAGCGTTGTGACATTGGCTGCTGTAGCCACTTTCCATCAGGTGGACTGTGAGTTCCTTTGTCATTTCAATTTTATATAATAAATATTCGTAGGCCATACAAATACTTGTTTCGTGCGGAAATCGAACCCGCGGTTGGTAGCATTACAGCCAGTGGTAGCATTTAAGCAAAAATCCTACACTACGCCACTGGTTCGTATGTTAATAATGTCCTGCAAACCGAATTTCGGTCACGACGAGCAATCGTTACAGAGCACGAGTGTGTGCGTAAAAACGGGTGCTCTATATTCTCTCATTCTCATAGTTCGATGGAACGGTATTCCGACACGACCGGAGACATCAGGTGAAACACTGCCAACTTTCCGGCTCCTGGCTACTATTGTGGATTTCTTGAAATTTTCATCCTACCCGGGTGCGAATACGAACCTGGAGTCACATGTTAAGCAGTCGCAGTCAGTATTATAAAAGTATTCTATTATTTAAGAAAGTGACAGTGATATATGTGCATCGCCAGCTTCTCCGTTTGGACCTGACGACCGGAGGCAAGGCGTCCGAAGGCCTGGCGGGCCACGTAATCAACCTTTTGACCACGGACGCCCAGAGATTCGATATGGCCAGCCTGTTCATGGTGGACCTGGTCCGGACGCCCATAGAGAGCGTGCTCATCGTCTACCTCATGTATCGCCAAATCGGTGTCGCCACGCTTATTGGAGTTTCCTTTTTGCTTTTGTTTATACCGTTGCAAGGTAGGTTTTAACTAATTCTATTGCTTCCTGTACTTCTCTATTTTTAACTTATAAGTGATAGTCAGTGATGCACACAGTTGGTTTTTTTATAGGAGAAGTGTAACAAACGATCACATAGTCCACCTGATGGTAAGTGGTTGCTGTGGCACATAGACATCTACATCTATCCTCGACTACCAATCAAAATTCAAAGCCGTGAGGTCTAAAATGGAATGCCTCCTTTCCAGTAAAAAGGTTCTCCTGGTTTACATAATGATTTCTTATATTTACGCGAACACTACACATTGAAATAATACTAGTTTTTACGGAATATATCGCGTATATTTAACTTTTTAAATACCCGACGTTTCGAACGCTTTACAGCACTCATGGTCACGGGCAGGACTGAGATGTTCAACGTCCATATGTCATAGTTAACCGCGGTTACCATAGATTAAAATTTAACATTGCATAGATCGGAATAAAACGTTGAACATCTCAGTCCCGCCCGTGACCATGAGTGCTGTAAAGCGTTCGAAACGTCGGGTATTTAAAAAGTTAAATATACGCGATAAATTCCGTAAAAACTAGTATTATATCAAAAAGGTTCTCCGTTTCTCAACACTCACCATACAAATCACAGCAGCGTTAAGCTGCTATTTTTGCGCTTGTATTCTGTGAGTGGTCCTTCCCCGGTAGAGCCGACCCATTCGTGCTACAACTATACTACTAATATAGCAGCAGTATGGCTCTACCACGAAAAAACTAGTTGATAGACTTTACTGATTTTATTTAATTTAACGGCTTAAACTTTAAGAGTATAAATTCATTAAGTCTCATATATAATTGAAGAAAACATTCGACACCTAACTGTGGATAAATATCCACTACTGCCGCACAGTGTCTGCCCGTGGGTTTCATAAGAGGCGACAAAGGTAAATCAGGGGATGGAGAACTGCGTCGTCGTAATAACACCCAGAAAATAAAATAAAAACTGCGATTGCCAACCCGTCTGCCAAACGTGGCAACTAGACATGGGTAGTTCAGCTCAGCTAACTCAAAATTGCGTCATAATCCAACAAAATGAAAGCGCACTATCCTCATAGTAGTCATGAAGAATGGCGACTATTTTGTACGACGATAGGCGTCGTCGGAAGTACACACACAAGCAATAACGTCGTATTATCACTACTACAAACCCGATTCGCTGTGTTGGCAGACAGATTTTAAGACATATTTTATTTGTAAATAGCGTCCAATTTGGCATTTTCTAAATAATTTGCATGGGAAATCTGGAAACGATTGTAACGTCAAAACACATCTCGTGTTGACATTTATACGTGTGAACTGACATGTTAGTGATATTTTAGTGGCTACACGGGCTCCGCCTACTCCCCCGTTCTATTATGTATGTATAGTATTCTATGTTCTAAGCACATACAGCGCACAGCGCCCGACCTGCGTTGACTCTATGTTCACTAAGCGAGTGAGTGAGGGAGAGAACGAATGAGATCGTTTATATTTTGTTATGTTCATTGCTCTGTATTCTATGAGCTATTTGAAACCTTTCAGATTTGCCGGTCCTACGTTGTGCGCCAACACACTTTGAAGAAGGGAGTTAATACATCCGGCGCAGTTAACAGAGTTGGCGCAATCGCGCGGCGTAGCGCAGTGTTACACATGTCTAGTGGCAACTAAGGCAAATATACTCTGTATGAGGCAATCTATGGGAAGGCCTGTGTCTAGCAGTGACCTTTTGATAGGCTGTAATGATGATAATGATGATGATAACGAGACAACGGTAAAAATATATTTTGAATATCAAAATTTATTTTGATTTTTTTTTTATAGAAGAAGGGGCAAACGAGCATACGGTTCACCTGATGTTAAGTGACTACCGTCGCCCATGAACACCCGCAACACCAGAGGAGTTGCAGGTGCGTTGCCGGCCCTTTAGAAAGGAGTAAGCTCTTTTCTTGAAGGTCCCCAGGTCGTATCGGTCCGGAAAAATCGCCATTGGTAAACTATTTCACAGAGAGGTCGTACGCAGAAGAAAACTCCTTTTGAAGCGTACAGTGGTGGACCGCCAAGCATCCAGATGGTGTGGATGGTATCGGGAGGTTTGCCGCGTAATGTGTGCATGAAATGTATTTATTTCTTTATAAAAAGTACCTGTGTACGACGTAACATCTAATATTAAAGCACCGTAAACCGTGTACTAGGCAAATCTAACTGGATTCTAGAATTGCTGTAATAGCAGACATTGGGCATAATTTAAAAATGAATAATATAAAATAATCACGAATGGTGATATTAAAAGTCTAATTTTTAATATCAATAACATTGCATTGAAACAGTTTAGTTTATTTTGCATGAACTTTTCAGGATACCTTGGCAACATTTCAAGTAAGCTCCGTCGCCAGACGGCTGTGCGGACCGACAATCGTATTCGTCTCATGAATGAAGTGATACAGAGTATAGAAGCGATCAAGATGTACGCCTGGGAGAACGCGTTCATTAGGATCATCGGGCAGGCAAGAAAGTACGTGTTAAAATTTCTTTCAGCATGTTGATGGCAAATTACATAAGCGACAGCACGCTTTTAAATGTGGTGGAGCCTCGTTGCAGCTATATATATATATATATATATTGCGCGAATGGATCGGCTCTCCCGGGGTACGACCACGCTGGTGCTTCGTGCACACGGACGAGTTGAGAAGTCTAAAAGAAATAAGCAAGAACGGAATTTACTTCTCTTAAATTTCTTCCGTTTTTGTTTTTCATAGACAAATGACACGCTGATGTTTTGTTATGGTTATGTATTGTATAACACGAATGGGTCGGGTCAACCGGGGTTGGACCACGATCTCACTGAATACCAGCATAAAATAACAACTCAATGCTGCTGTGTATCGTATGGTGAGTGTAGAGAACTGGAGACCTTTTTACTTGAAACGAGGCATTCCATATTAGTCCTCACGGGTGACAACGCATCTGTTGATTCTTAATCGAGGGTAAATGTAGATGTCTATGGGCCACAGCATCCGTTTACCATCAGGTGGACTGTGTGCTCGTTTGTTACCCTTATTCTATAAAAAAACAATGACACTTTTTTATACAGGTAGAGGTTTCGGACATGAGCTTTCAATCCACGTGTTGGTAAATGGACGCTGTGAACCAGATACACATTCGTCTATCCTTGATCATGAATCAAAATGCAGATGCGTTGTAAATATTAAAGTCATAAGTAGAAAGAGTATTCTGTTTTCGTCACGCACTATTTAAAATTCAGCAGTAGTATACTGATATTTCACGCTCGTATTATGCGAGAACGTGGTCCTCCCCCTATCGTACCAACCTGATTATACTGCAGATATAAAAGGTTTTCTTTAGTTCTACAATGTGAGATTCTCTTTATGCTATACGTATTGTAGCTTATGGTTTTTTTGCGCCCGAAGCAAATAAGGGCAACCCTCCGGTAACGGGGGAGGGAGGTGGTGAATGCTCATAGCATACCACGCAGCCGGCTGCGTGGTTATGTGGAGACTTTTACCCACTAAACACCACCTTTTGGGATTGGCTTAACGATCTAACGAGAGATCTTTAAGTCGTAGGTCGTCGGACACGACCCTCCTTGGGTGAAAGGAGGGCGCAATAGCTTATGGCCGCACTGTCTACATTATAAAGCTTTTTTTTTTTTTGGCAGAAAAGAAATGAACGTAATCAAGAAAATGTCGTGGCTCCGCGCCGTGATGATATCCTGCGTGAAACTCAACACTAAAGTGGCAATCTTCATCAGTATCATCTCTTTCCTCTCCTTCCAAAACGACCTCACAGCGTCGAAGGTCTTCGTCATCTTCTCCTACTACGATATACTTAAGTACACGTTGGTGGACTTTCTTCCCATGGCTATTACGTTTACCCTGGAGGCGTATGTCAGTGTTAAAAGAATGCAGGAGTTCCTATTGCTCCCTGAGGTGAATAATGAGGACAACGTTAATCTGGTGAAGATAGAAGACAGTACGAATGCTGTTCATACGAATGGAGTATTTGAGAAGATTGGCAACGGGTATGTTCCTTTTTTATTTATATATAAATATAACGGAACACACGAACAACGAGTCACACGGTTTCGATTCCCGCCGGCACCAATGAAATTGTTAATTGCAATTTTAAGTGGGAGCACTATGCTCGAAGTTGTTGACGAGTACGTTTACCTGGGACAAATAGTCCGACTAGGTAAGTCCAACTTCGACCGAGAGGTCAATCGACGGATTCAACTCGGCTGGGCAGCGTTCGGGAAATTACGACGCATCTTCTCGTCAGGTATACCTTAATCTCTGAAAGCTAAAGTGTACAACCAGTGCGTGTTGCCAGTGATGACTTACGGATCTGAGACGTGGTCCTTCACTGCTGGCCGTATGAGGATGGTCAAGGTCGCTCAGCGAGCTATGGAGAGGGCTATGCTCGGAGTTTCTCTGCGTGATAGACTCGGAAATGAGGATATCCGCAATAAAACCAGAGTGACCGACATAGCCCAACGGATTAGTAAGCTGAAGTGGCAATGGGCCGGCCAAATAGCTAGAAGAACCGACAACCGTTGGGGAAAAAAGGTTATCGAGTGGCAGCCTTGTACCGGTAGGCTTAGTGTAGGGCGACCCCCCACTAGATGGAGTGACGACCTGGTAAGACATGCAGGAAGTCGATGGATACAGGTGGCTCAGGACCGTGCTTTGTGGCATTACTTGGGGGAGGCCTATGTTCAGCAGTGGACTTGTGAAGGGCTGTAATGATGATGATGATGATGAATTTTAAGTGCTGATTTATCACGTGCTTGGCGGTGAAGGAAAACATCGTGAGGAAACCTGCATGTCTGATGAATTAGAAAAAAAATATATTTCGTAGACTTGTGAAGTTTGCCAACACGCGTTGGGGCGTCCTTTTGAAATTAGGAACCGATTCCTACCAAGGGTGATACGTGAGACTATTGAAATTAAAAAACATCCTAATTTCAATAGAGAAGGAGGCTGGGTACTACCACCTGCTTGGGATCCTACAATCAATAAAATTAAAACTAAACCCAAGCATACCACTGCAAGACCTCAAGACATAGTCAGTTCATTTTGCATAGATCGGACCATAAACAATAATTAAAACAGCTGAAGGTACTCCGGGTTTAACAATGACATCGGGACGTCAGTCATCTCAGTCCCCCGTGACCATGGGTGCGGGAAAGCGCCCGAAACGTCGGGAATTAAAAATAAAAGTAATTAAAAGTAAAATAAACGCGGTAATATCCGTAAAAGTAGTTTTAATCAATATACTCTATCTTTCCTTAAATCAATACATGCATCTTAATTTCTTTTAGACTTAGAATAGCTAATATTATTCATTCATTAATTCATTATAGCCTATCAAAGTTTACTGTTAAACAGTCCTTCTCGTAGATTGCTTCATTAGGTTAATATTTGCTGAAGTTGCCACGTGAGGATCCACACCATCGAAGGCGGGGTGGGTCTCTCCGTCATCTCCTCTGTCTCCTCTTACGACACTTATGGGACGACGTAGGGAGGGAGTGGATATTCTTACACCGCGACAGCACGGTCCACTAACAAACCAATATACCTATTGTTGCTCGCCACAGTTGATGTCTGGTACATGGTACTAGCGCCATCTATTATTGAATAGAAGAACTAAGCTTTCTGGAAAATTCGGTGTAAAAGGCCTATATAAAGCCGTTTAGGGCCTCGGCCGGAGCAGTATTGGTTGGCAATACGAGCATAGCTTTCGGAGTGAAATAAAATGAACTAAAGTGTTAAGTGTGACTAATTATTTGTGTGATTAAAGTTTTAATTCGTGTTCAGTAAATTAAATTGTCAATTTTGGTAATTCAATCGGCAGTTTTTATTGTCACGAACCCTAAGCTCGTAACAATATTATAAAGAAGTAAAGTTTATAAGTGTAATAGTTTGTTTGTAAGGGAACGTCTCTAAAACTTCTAATTCGATTCTTAAAATTCTTTCACTAATTGAAAGCAACACTGTTCTGTGTAGCTTTTAACCAGTGACAAAAGTATTTTTGTATCAAAGAACGGGAGAAACTCCTAGGTTGAGGGTACATTTAAAAAAAAACATAAATAATTCCAATTTATCTTGCTAAACACAGCTATGTACTAGTTTGAAGAGCTGACGTTGTGGGGGACATCTCAATATTCAAGGTGTCACCCTTGAATATTATCATCTAAATTTGCAGATGTCCACGGATTGCATCAGCTACTTATCATCAGGTTGATCGCTTGTTTGCCAGTATAATAATATTATATTATTATATTGCCTACTACTACTACTACTACTATTATTTGTTTTAAGTTATAACGATTAAATAAACTATAATATTTGATTTGCTTTTAATTTATTTCTTGTATGAAACAAGTTTTTGTTGTATGTTACAGTACGTTTGCACTGAGAAACATCCAATATGTAATGTGTTGAAACAAATCTCATAAAATAAATCACATAACATATTTTGTTGATGGTGGCGTTCGCACTCACGAAAACTGTGTAAAATTTTTAACAGATATTCAAAAACTTATCTTTCGATATGACAATATTTCTACACATTTGTATACAAACATTTTATTTTTGTAGTTTATAAAGATATAATATAGTATGATATAATATAATGTATAATGTACAATAAACTGTCAAACATATTTTACTACTACATGTTCTTTGACTATGAACGCTTTTGATACATTGACAGAAAACAGTTTTAAAAACATGTTTTTTTTTTGTGAAAATCGCGTCAGTGCAAACTCACGGTAAGTCATACCGTTGCCAATGTTTCTAGGCAGCAAGCTTATATAACATCAGAGTCGAACTTGGAGAGACTGAAGCCAGCCGTACTCGTCAGTTTCAAGGACTATACAGCTCATTGGCGGAACGTGGAAGACGAGTCTATAGATGGAAAAGTGGCAGCGCTGTCTGGAATCAATTTGACTGTAAGTTAAAAAAATGTTACTACTTTTCATTGTTTCAAAGATAATGTTTGTAAATAGAAGGTATATACAGTTTCCGGCTGGGTTTTACTATGAAACGGGCGAAATGGAACGAATGAAACTAAAAATGAACAAAAGCAAGAAGTATGTTTTCGTTTCTGTGTTGAGTAGTAGAATCGAATACAAAATCGAGTTCGAGGGTAAGCCTGCAGTTAGTTAAATTTGAAGCCTATGTAATGTGGGCATGGGCCCACTGCTATTTCTGAAAAGGATATAAAGAGACCTTAATCCGACTTCACTTTAGTTCATGCTGGTGAACTTCCACATACCCTGGAAATATTTTATTCCTAAATCATGTATGTTTCCTCACGTTGTCTCGAAGCTGAGCACATGAATTTTTTATATAGAATAAGGGTGACAACGAGCACACAGTCCACCTGATGGTAAGTGGATGCTGTGGCCCATAGACATCTACATTTATCGTCGATTAAGAATCAAAACGCAGATGCGCTGTCACCCCTGAGGACTAAGATGGAATGCCTCGATTTCAGTCAAACGGGTTTTCGGTTCTCTACACTCACCATACGAAACACCGTGACATTAAGCTGCTATTTCACGCTGGTATTCTGTGTGGACGTGGTTCTTCCCATTTTTGCTACAACCATAAGAAAGCTGCAGCGTGGCTCTACAACCAGTAAAATTGCTATTAATAACTTTATTGGTGCAGGCGGGTATCGAACCTACTCTCATACGGTGAATGAATCTTCGCCATAAAAGGGCGAATATATACTAGTTTACTTATTAAAATCAAAGTTTCTAACATACTCTGGATGTTTGTTGTATTTTTTATTTCGTCTCGCTAGCCGTATTGCAAATGCAATTTATTTCCAGATAAAACCAGAGAGCTTGACCACCATATTGGGCGTGGTGGGATCAGGCAAGTCCACACTACTACAAGCCATGTTGCGCGAGCTGGAGTCCAGCTCTGGGCAGTTGGAGGTGCAGAGCGTCATCTCGTACGCAGCACAGGATCCGTGGCTCTTTGACGCTTCGGTATGATTGATCTTTGGTACACTAGGGCACACTTTTTTGTGAGTTGGGGTGACGAACAAGCGCACAGTCTACCTGATGGTATGTTGATACTGTGACCCATAGACATCTATATTTATCCTCTATTAAGCATCAAAATGCAGATGCGTTGTTACCTCTGAGGACTAAATTTCCAATAAAAAGGTTTTCGGTTATCTACACTCCATACGAAACACAAACGCATTGAGCTGTTATTTTACGCTAGTATTCACTTACTCCCTTTCTTCACCAATCAGAGGAACCTGATATGAGATCTCAGTAGTTTTAACCGTGTAGTGGCGGCTTAAGAGAATTCACCACCCTATTAACATCCTGTGGTTGCCGTAAAAGGCGACACAGTGTAATAAAATAGGAGATTGACAGTTGCATCTTCCTGATATCAACTTTCTTCTCTTCTTTTACTTCAAACGGATATGTTAGCCCTATCATACCCTAATCATTATGACACACAGTTGAAAAAAACCTCAATTGGAAGACACAGAATTATTGGTATTTCATAACCATATAAACCGAAAATTTTGAATGCTTAATATTTTATTATGCACCTACAATATGCCTCTGTTTGATTGTGTATCCCTTATCTTGCGGTCAGCTGATCAGCTGCTGGCATTATAAAGATATTTAATTTAATTTAAATTAAATTGCCGATATTAAAAAGTTAGTTGGTTTAAACTTGTAGTGGCGGCTTAATCTGTGGAGTCTCAGTCCAACATATCGTATTTGCACGTCACCTTTGTAGATCACTAAGAACAATATTTTTTTAAATGTAATATATTTATAAGAACTGTACAACTAAAATTCTAAAAACTTTATTATAATTTAGTCTCGTTACTAAATTACGAGAATTAAGATTATACGACAAATAAATTAAGAAACTTTTACTTTAAATGATGACCTTTTCCTATTATGCTACTTTACTATTAAAACTACATGGGCTATGCAGGTCGACATAGTCTCACAGGACCGACCCGATATTGTATCAGACAAACTCATTCAGACCTGTGGCCAGGCCAAGGTCAATAACATTTTTTTTTGATTCTCTAAACCAGGTTCTTTCAAATGGAATAAACTACGACGGCTTCGTAGGTCGATGTAGTACTTCATAGACCGTATAGATGGCGCTGTTACAGAATTATTTCATTTGCAAAGTTTGTTTTAAAATATTTCTACCTTAAAATTGCCAATTCATTTTAAACCTCTTAAATGGGAGTATTAATTTACTTATTTTTTTATCTATCTATTGATTTTAAAATACTATGTTCTTTTTTACTAATGAAATAATTCTGTAACAGCGCCATCTACACGGTCTGTGAAGTACTAGATATCCGACCATACATTAGTTGACAGGGCATGGTTTAGAGAATAAAAAAAATGTTATTGACCTTGGCCTGGCCACAGGTCTGACTAAGTTGGTCCGATACAATGTCGGGTCGGTTTTGTGAGTATCGTAAGAGGCGACAGAACAGAATATAGCGATATCATATAACGAATATCTATAAGAAAATCTATGAGGCAGGCCTATGTTTTCCAGTGGACTTTGGAAAAGATGGAATTTGAAAGAATGAATAAAAAGTAGTAGTAGTCGTTGCATGTGACATTCTTTGTTATTTCAGGTTCGTCAGAATATCCTCTTCGGTCAGGAGTTGGATTTGCGTCGATACAAGCAGGTGATAAAGTGCTGCCAGCTAAAAAGTGATCTAGACATATTGCCTCATGGAGAAAAGACCATTGTTGGGGAGAGAGGTAAGCAGCTATATCATTTTTTTATTTCATAAAAATTATTTCAATAAATTCTCTTGTAAAAGTGACTGTAGCTTAATAGTTAAGGGTGCGGACCAGTCACGGGCTTAAATCTGCCATGCGATTGCTGTCGTGTACTACTTCTAACACAAGCGTTTTTAGCTTACCTGGAGTGGTTCGCGGAATATGATTTTTTTTAACATTGGGTGAAAAACGAGCACGGAGTCCACCTGATGGTAAGTGGATGCTGTGGCCCACATAGACATCCACATTTATCTTCAATTAAGACTTAAAATGCAAATGCGTTGTCACCGCTGAAGACTAAAATGGAATTATTTGGTTCCAGTAAAACGGGTCTCCGGATCTCTACACTCACCATACGAAACACAGCAGCATTAAGCTGCTATTTTACGTTGGTATTATATGAGAGTGTGGTCCTTTCACGGTCGAGCCGACCCATTAGTGTAACAACCATAAGCCAAACAGACGTATATATTCACGCGGCTTAATCATTTTATATACTAATTATATACATTTATTTATATATTTGTATATATGTAAGGATAGATCATATATGTAGTTTATGTTATCGTAGTAGCATTTGTATATATTATGTAGTTAATTATCATTTGTATTGTGTTATCTTATTCTATATTGCCAGCACCTACGTCAAATTCTCACCACTCCATGGGTTGACTGGTAGAGAATGCCTCAAGGCATTAAGTCCGCCCTTTGTATTCTTTTGTTTAGGGATGCAATAAAGAATAAAATAAATAAATAATATAGCTGCAGCGCGGCTTTACCATATATAAAAAATATCGTTTTCAATTTGGAAGAGTTATATTGGTTAGCAGAGTGGCTCTACCACGTAAAAAAGTAGTGTAGTAATAGTAGTATTAGTAATGTTCATGGCGTTACTGGTTTACTTTTTTAAATTATGTAGAAAGTAGTAAGTAGAAGGAATACTTTCATTGCTCCAAATCTAAATATTTATTTCTTGTGTACTCTATTCCCTCCCTATCATAATTCGATGGGACGATAATCTGACACGACCGAAGAGAGATCACGCGCGGAACCAACGGCTTTACTTGTTTCCAGAGGCAAGGGAGTGAAACACCACCAACTTCCTGACTCTGGGCTGTCATCGAAAGTTTCTTGACAGAAAATCTCAGAAACTAATTGTTTTTGTCTCGAACTGAGGATTCGAACCTTGGCCCTCCACTAGACCAAGGAATTCTCCTAATAGCGTTTGTTACGTGCAGGTGCGTCGTTGTCGGGCGGGCAACGCGCTCGTGTATCTCTGGCGCGTTGCGTGTATCAAAACGCCGACCTTTACTTGTTGGACGATCCGTTAGCGGCCGTCGATGCCAAAGTAAGTTGTACTCTTAATTATTTATAACGTATTTTGATATATTTCGGCACGTGTGGAGGTCATATTATTATTTTGGTTTTAAACCTAACCGATGTTTGATGTAACCTATGTGATGAATTTGGAGGTAGGATTAGGTTAGCCACAGACATGGTGAGGATTACAAACGTCTAAACCTGGATCCGCTATATTTATGTGTTTGAAGAAGTGTTATTCTTACTTTCTTCTATAAATAATTTTGGATTTTGTTTCTTACGAGTCGTTGTTTATTTCTTCATGTTCATTAAAGTTGTTAAGGATTAATTCGCCCACATCCGCTCAATATAATAAAATGATGTGTCTTACCTAGTTTGAAGAGCACCTCCCGCCCTCCCTCAATTGCTTGCACTAATCCCCACCACTAATCCCAGCACCACTACTCCCATCACACTACCCACTACACTAGGAAAGACAAACCACCGACGATAATACGACACGTGTTTCGCCTCTACATGAGGCATCGCCTCAGGTGATGTAGACTTTGCGGTGGCTGACCGCAGTTGATACGACACGTGTTTCGCATCTACATGAGGCATCGCCTCAGGTGATGTCGACTTTGCGGTGGCTGACCGCAGTTGATACGACACGTGTTTCGCCTCTACATGAGGCATCGCCTCAGGTGATGTAGACTTTGCGGTGGCTGACCGCAGTTGATACGACACGTGTTTCGCCTCTACATGAGGCATCGCCTCAGGTGATGTAGACTTTGCGGTGGCTGACCGCAGTTGATCTTTAATATGATGGATTTCCGCAAAGTAACGCCCGTTTCTATTAATTTCTTCGTCTTCATCATCATCCCGTAAAGGTCTACTGTTGGACCTGGGTCTCTCTCGTTCTACGGAAGATTTGCCTTAATCGTCATCTTGGCAGGCGGACTGATGCAGTACCAGACGTTTCGCACCATTGACCCTACTTCTGGGCTGAATGTTTTATGTTTGCCAAGATGGTTATACCGTCGTCGATCGGAAACCACATGATCTTTTTGATATATTTTATAGACGCCACCCACGGGACAAAATGGAGTGATATATTTCCTTTCGTCGCCACTACATATCAATTTTTTTGTTTCTTGCATGTTGTCTGTTTAATTTTACGTAATATCTGCCAAACTATCTTGCGGCAGAGGATTGTCTTTTGCCAGAACGGTCGAGACAAACTTATGCCTGTTTTCACTGCCTTCGCTGTTAAAACTAGATGACTCACTGGCGCTTACAACTAAGAAGATAGCAGACTTGCTTGCTTTTCTGTTTGCTTTGCAATTCGCGTCTTGATAGTTGCAGCAGCGTACTGCAATAATAAAGTAACGTAAAATATAGACACATTGCTTAAATTCGTGAGAAATTACCTTAAGACAAATATTAGGTATTAACACTATATAAAACTTTTGACAACACTGACTACTGACTTTTTAAATGAAGGGACTACCCATAGGCCCTATGCTTCGCAAAGGGCCTATAGGTAGATGTAGCAAGTGCTGCACCCTGCATGTCACGAACATTACCTCCATAAGAATACATAAACAAAGTGATAATGCGACACAGTTTCGCCTTTCGGCGCAGTTTAGCGAGTAATTTTTTTACGTGATATATTATGGGTGTAGCTCGAATGGATCGGCTGGACCACGCACTCAAAGAATACCATCAGAAAATAGCAGCTCAATGTTGCTGTGTTTCGTAAGATTATTCGTAAGATACGGAAACGAGGCATTCAATTTTAGTTATTAACGCATGTGTATTTTGATTCTTAGCCAAGGATAAATGTAGATGTCCATGGGCCACAGCATCCACTTACCATTAGGCGGGTTGTGCGCTCGTAAAAAACGTGTGACATACGTCACAAGTTTTTTAATAAAAACTAATGTAGGTGGCGCAAGCGATCTACGAGGAGTGCATCCGCGGGTTCCTGCGCGACAAGGCGGTGGTGCTGGTGACGCACCACGTGCAGTACGCACGCCATGCGGACACCGTGTGCGTCATGCGCGCGGGCCGGGTGAGCAAACTTGCTACTTTCCTAAAACACTAAAAAAGAAGAATATTTATTTATTTAATTCTCGTTTTTTGTAGTTTTTTTAAGTTACACTCCTTTAAGCATGTTGTGGATAATATAATTACAGCCTATCAAAAGCCCACTGCTGAACAAAGGCCTTAGTTGCCACACTTAACAGACAGGTTGGCAACTGTAAGATATTTTTTCATTATTATCAGGAAGAGTGATTTATTTGATTTATATCCTTCTGTCGCTTCTTACGACTACCACGAACGGTACGAGGTAGTGAATATACTTACACCTCCACTACAAGGTTAAGACGATATAGCATGCGATGGTTAAATATTACACTTGTCACAATAAAATTAGTTTTAATTTTCAAAAAATTGTATTTATGTGTAATTATTTTCATCATCATCATCATCATTACAGCCCTTCACAAGTCCACTGCTGAACATAGGCCTCCCCCAAGTAATGCCACAAAGCACGGTCCTGAGCCACCTGCATCCATCGACTTCCTGCATGTCTTACCAGGTCGTCACTCCATCTAGTGGGGGGTCGCCCTACACTGCGCCTACCGGTACGAGGCTGCCACTCGAGAACCTTTCTTCCCCATCGGTTATCGGTTCTTCGAGCTATATGGCCGGCCCATTGCCACTTCAGCTTACTAATCCGTTGGGCTATGTCGGTCACTCTGGTTTTACTGCGGATATCCTCATTTCTGAGTCTATCACGCAGAGAAACTCCGAGCATAGCCCTCTCCATAGCTCGCTGAGCGACCTTAAGCGTCCTCATACGGCCAGCAGTGAAGGACCACGTCTCAGATCCGTAAGTCATCACTGGCAACACGCACTGGTTGTACAATCTAGTTTTTAGAGATTGAGGTATACCTGACGAAAAGATATGCCGTAATTTCCCGAACGCTGCCCAGCCGAGTTGAATCCGTCGATTGACCTCTCGGTCGAAGTTGGACTTACCTAGTCGGACTATTTGTCCCAGGTAAACGTATTCGTCAACAACTTCGAGCATAGTGCTCCCAACAACTACCGGCATAGGTGTGACATGGACATTGAACATGATCTTTGTTTTGTCCATGTTCATCTTAAGACCTATCCGTTGGGAGGCACTATTGAGGTCATTGAGCATAGTGCTTAAGTCCTCCAGCGATTCTGCCATAAGGACTATATCGTCGGCAAATCGAAGGTGAGTGATGTACTCGCCATTGATGTCAATACCGTATCCTTTCCAGTCCAGTAGCTTGAAAACGTCTTCCAATGCAGCGGTGAAGAGTTTCGGGGATATAACGTCACCCTGTCTTACACCTCTCTGCAGTTGGATAGGTTTCGAGCTCTGGTTCTGTACTCGGATAGCCATCGTAGCCCTACTGTACAAACACTTCAGCACTTCGATATACCGACAGTCAACTTGGCACCGCTGAAGGGACTGTAGCACCGCCCAAATTTCGACGGAATCAAAGGCTTTCTCATAGTCCACATACGCCAGGCAAAGTGGCAGATTGTACTCTTCAGTCTTCTGTACAATCTGACGCAGGGTATGTATGTGGTCTATGGTACTGAAGCCTTTTCGGAAACCGGCTTGTTCGGGAGGCTGGAAGTCGTCAAGTCTGCGTGCGAGACGATTCGTAATAACTCTCGAAAACAGCACGTAGACGCGGCTCAGAAGGGAAATCGGTCTGTAGTTCTTTAAGAGAGCGTTGTCGCCTTTCTTAAAGAACAAGACCACCGCACTTCTGCTCCACGCCTCTGGGTAGTGCCACCATGGAGGACGGAATTGGAGAGCTTCTGAAGGACTTCAAGTACCGGTGTTCCACCCGCTTTCAGAAGCTCCGCTGTAATTCCATCCTCGCCTGGGGCCCTGCCGTTTTTAAGGTGCTGGAGAGCCATTCTAATCTCGCTTAGACTGACGTCCGGGATATCATCGGAATAGTGTCGGATAAGACTTGCTCTTGGATCGTTACTCACACTTGCGTGTGGCTCCAACGATGATGTGTACAGCTGCCCATAGAACCTCTCAATCTCACTCAAAATCTCAGGTGTCCCGGAAACGATGTTGCCACACTCAGTCTTCAGCCTTGACAGTTGGCTCTTTCTGGCAGACAGATCTCTGGCAAAGACTTTGGAGCCCTGGTTCCGCTCGATCGCTTCTTTAATACGAGAAGTATTAAAGTTGCGTAAGTCTCGCCGTATGCATTTGGAGATCTGTCTGTTCAGTTGCCTGTATGCTGTCAAATCTGTTGACGATTGCAGCCTCATCTCCCGTCTAACAGCCATGAGATTAAGAGTGTGATCGGAGAGTTTTTGTGTTCTTCTGCGGCGGGTCTTGCAGAACTTAGCTCCGACCGCATGGACAGTTTCCACGAGCTTGTCGTTCATATCGTCCACTGCATTGCAATCTTCTAGGCACTGGAAGCGGTTACGTAACTCGAGCTGAAAGGTTTCGGGATTCTGGATTAGAGCACGAGGGGGACGGAGCGTTGACTTCATTAGACGAGACCTCTCCAACTTAACGTTTAGGTTCAGTGTGCCTCTAACCATTCGGTGATCGCTGCCAGTTTTCACCCTTGCGATCACTGAGACATCACTGAACAGTTGGCGTCTGGTCGTCATAATGAAGTCAATCTCATTTTTTGTCGAACCGTCGGGGCTCGACCAGGTCCACTTCCTGTGGGGCCGCTTCTGGAAGAAAGAGTTCATCATAAAGAGTCCCTCTTTCTCCATAAAGTCGGCCAGCTGCTGGCCCCTTCGGTTCCGTTGCCCTACTCCAAATTTCCCTACCTTCAGCTCACCGCTTTCTTTTGTGCCCAGTTTTGCGTTGAAGTCTCCCATCAACACCGTGTAGTAGGTTTTGGAGGAATGTATGGCTCTGGAAATATCCTCATACATTTCCTCCACCTCCTCATCGGGATGTGCCGAGGTTGGTGCGTAAACCTGAATGACCTTCAGCGAATACCGTTTGGTGATTCTGAGTATCAGGTACGCGACCCTCGTCGACACACTCCCAATCTTTACAACGTTGTTGACGAGAGATTTGTGGACGATAAATCCGACACCTCCTTGGGACAGATGGTCGCCCTCCCGGTGATAGAACAAGTTGCCGGACTCGAGGATTGCCGTGTCCTCCCCCTCTCTTCGGACCTCGGATAATCCAATAATATGCCAGCGCAACTTGTCTACCTCTTCTTCCAGCTCCAGTATCTTCTCGTCAGTCCTCAGGGTGCGTGCGTTATATGTTGCCAGGTTGAGTCGTCGTAGGTGGCAACCGAACCTCCACCGGAGATTCTTAGCACCCCCTGCCCCGCCGTTACCATGGTCGCCACCGTAGCCAGGAATAGCGGGGCCGCCGGGGACTGGGGGCCGTCTGTTTGTGTATTTATTCATTGGGAGGTATTTGCCATAGTTGCCACGCTTGGCGAGCGGGTTGGCGACCGCAGTTTTTTATTACGTCACAGTTGTCATCAGGAAGACGCTGCTGCCCATCTCCTGCCTGTCTCCCTCTGTCGCCTCTTACGACACCCACGGGAAGATATGGGGTAGTGGATATTCTTAACCGCCACTACACGGCGGAGTAATTATTTTAGTTTCAACTAAAAAGTTAAGTTCGATTTAACAGTGTGTACAGCCTGTAGAAGAAAATACATATGATTTTTAAATTTGTTCAATCTGATAAAGCGCTTCTGAGCAGCAGTCAGAACATTTGGGCGACCACTGCGGGGTCGATCAGCTAAATTATCTATGCCGTGATACAAATGAAACAGCAACTCTGCGTGCTATTTCTCTCGTGGAATATCCTTCTACCCCCAAAATTACAATTCTTGCTCGTAAAACTTCTGATAACCCTCCTTAACATTTATTCAATGACAACTTTCGTCGAAAAAAATATTTAAATCCATTTAAATTGGCTAAGGGCCTGCACTCACAGACGGCACGGTATGGCATGGCGTGACAAGCAAACTTTGCGATGCCGAACGATCCTGTGGCATCTCGCGTCGTGCCAATGTTTTGTGAAAATAAATTTTAACGCGCATACACAAATACATTTCGTTGCAGTCGTAAAAAGCTACTAAACCAAAAGCAAAAAACGAAATGTCAGAAAAATATAAATTCATCTAATAGATGACGGTACAACCATCTCGTATATATTCGTATCAGATGAAATATACGCAAATTAGCGCGTAATTCGAGACGAGCCATGATACGCATGATATTGTTTCGATTATATTAAAAGATGTATTCCATATTCTTAAACAGATTGTCGCGCAAGGATCATACCATGAACTTAAGAACGGTGTACCAGAATTCGAGAAGCTGATAGAAATGGGTGAGCGCGTGGAAGGCGAGAAGCAGAAACAAAAAGTCGCCTATGAGAAACACGAAAGTGTTGTAAGCATTTACATTTTATACTTATGATGTTTAATTTTTTTCGACATATATGATTTACCCATAGAATACTATAATACACAATAGAATGGCTGTCAACCTTATATTGTACGAGATTCGGCGTCGCCGGGAGCACACATACAAGCAATTACGTCGTATTATCACTACCACAAACCCGATTCGCTGTGTTGACAGACTTAATGTTTTTGACACATCAATATTTTTTTTAATAATTTTTCTAATATTTACAAAATATAAATAGTTTCGAATTACTGATTGTAGGATGTCTCCTTTATATAAATTCCATTTACCGCTGCTTTTTGACACGTAATTATAGCATAATTTGCCATTTTTTAAATATTGAAATAATACTGGTTTTTACGGAATTTATCGCGTATATTTAACTTTTTTAAATACCCGACGTTTCGAACGCTTTACAGCACTCATGGTCACGGGCAGGACTGAGATGTTCAACGTCCATATGTCATAGTTAACCGCGGTTACCATAGATTAAAATTTAACTTTTGTTCCGATCTATGCAGTATGAACTTATGGTATCTTGAAGTCTTGCAGTTGTATGCTTGGGTTGGGATTTAATTTTATTTATTATAGGATCCCAAGCAGATGGTAGCACCCAGCCATCTTCTCTATTGAAATTAGGATGTTTTTTGATTTCAATAGCCTCGCGAATCATCCTTGGAAGGAATCGGTGTTCTTTAGCGAGGATCTGCGGTCTATCAAATCTGATGTAGTGACGGGGGCGATCCTGTACGTGTTCACAGACTGCATACTTCCCGGAGCGTCGATTCTTCACATCAGCCATATGTTCTTAACTCGAAACGTCGGGTATTTAAAAAAGTTAAATACACGCGATAAATTCCGTAAAAACTAGTATTATTTCAATGTGTAGTGTTCGCGTAAATATAAGAAATCATTTTTTAAATAATTTGCATGTTGCGACGCTTGACATGAAAATTGAAAACGATTGATTGTGTTGACATTTATAGTTGTGAATTGACATGTTAGTGACATGTTAGTGGCTACACGGGCTCCGCCCACTCCACCGTTCTATTATGTATGTATTATAGCATTCTATGAATTTACCCTTAATATGCCGTGTAGGTTGATTAGCTAATAATTACGTGATAAGTAAAAAATGGTGTGTATTATTAAAACAACATCCCCAACCCACAATTTAATCGGACAACAACACGAGGCATCATTGAGAGAAATAACTTTTTTTGATATCCTTAATAAAATAAATCTTTGTAAAGTAACGCCAGACTCAATTATTACTCCCTATTACTGGTACGAGGCATTCCATCTTAGAAGTCTAATCGAGGATACATGTTAATGTGTATGGGATACAATATCTACTTCATGTCACGAGGTTGGGGGATTGAGAAGAGGGCTATTAGAGCAATATATGATTTAAAACCAAAAGACAAACCAAAAGGTACACAAAAATAAAAGTAGGTTTGCAAAAATAAGTAATATTCATTCTGTAAATACTAGGAACAGACACAAGCTAGTAGTACCAGTTACTCGACCGAGTCAGTAATTCATTCTTGGGGCAATATTGTATGCTTTTACAACAAAATCCTAGAAAATGTACTAAATTTTACATACACGAAATACAAAAACTTTATTGAACTACGTTAGTATAAAAAGGGTTATTATTAGTTATATTAAGGAATTTGTGGATGATAATAACCCCTGGGAAGGGTGATCGCCACCAACCTATTTCTAATTTGTCTTGTGCTGTTAATTGTGATATACATGATTGTAAACTATTATTTGAAAAAAAATTTAATTGTTCTAATATTATTTTTTTTTCATATTAACTTTTGAAAAATTAATATTAAAAAACTGAAGGTAGCCGGGCTAACTATGACATTGGGACGTCAAACATCTCAGCCCCCCCCCCCGTGACCATGGGTGCTATAAAGCACCCGAAACGTCGGGAATTAAAAATAAGTAAAATCAGTTAAATAAACGCGATAATATCACTGATATATTAAATTAATATATCAATGGATAATATAGTTTTATTCAATATTACATTTATATCGTTGACCTGAACAATTAGACACCAAAATCGTAATCGGGGACACTTGTTGTTCCCTACATTTATTCGAGCACCACCAAACTCTACCTAACCTTTGCCAAGTTATAACTCTTTAAAATTGATATGGCGGCCATTTTGTTTTCCGCCTTTTTAGCCATGGCGGCATTCCAGCTCCATCATTAAATCTACTTTAAGTCATAATAATATTGAATTGTCATAATAGACGTCCGCCGCATTGAATTTAGATTTGCGTCACCTAACTTATTGTATTTCTTACTTAATACGCTTAATACGCATATCATAGACGTTACTATGGAAAATAGAAATCGCCATTATAATATGACGTCCGCCGTATGGGATTTAAAACAATGTCACTTTACTTATTGTGTTTTGCTTATATTTACACATATTTAGTAGACCATAGTCTTTTAAGTAAGTTATTTGTATGGTCATCAGTTTGTGCATTTTAGAAATGATATATTAATCATGTTTATCTCGTTAGGTGTACATGGCTGCTACAGAAAATGAACACCACACGGATAGTAATAGAAACGTTAGTTTTTGAATTAATCTTTACCGTAGAATGCTATTATGACGTAACATAATATGTCTAACTATGGATATGTTGCCATATACACTGTGATCACTGTAAGGTGTGACGTCAATGCAGTAGGTATACTGTGAAGTCGTTCCTTTTAGTTTGCTATACTGGTTACTGTTTAAAACAGAAAGCAGTCCAGTATACTGTCGACTCTGTTTTCAAATGGAAATATTTCTCATGTGTTTTCTGTTCAACAAGAAATATTATTATTTGAATGTTGTTGCTTTTAAAACTAATACTTTGATGATTGATAGAGATTCAAAGTACTAATGCTTTGATCACGTGACCAAAAACGTAACAGCAGCGCTTAGAGATTTAAAAAACAGAATAGCCTCCAGGAATGATTGTTATTATAATTAATTAATAATGTTATTCAAATAAACTCCTATATTAAGTTTTAAAAGCAACAACATTCAAATAATAATGTTTCTTGTTGCCTTACCTTGCAAACGTCAGTGCTCACATTACAAAAATGGCGGCGATTTTTGACGTCATATATTTCCCTAGGGTACTGCGGCCGTATACTGGCAGTCCACAACGGAACGTAATTTTTCACCTGCGAGAGCATTGAACAGCGCTCGCATTGTATATCGGCACACGACCTATATTTGCAATCTAATCTTTATATCGTCGGTCCATCCGTTAGTGACCGTGTAGCTTCTGAAAGACTTGAGCGATAACCCTATTATTTCACACAACATATTTGTTTGATCAAGACGATGGTTCATACATACATTTTCATAAATTGATAGGTGGCGCTGTTAAGTTACCTCGGTAAATAAATTGTATATTTATGGACTAAAATGATTCATTCACATTATATAATATGTTGGTTTGGTGTCATAATTAAAATAATAAAATTTTTATCCAAAAGGTATCGCTGTACTTGAGTTATTAAGAATTAGGATTGAAACTCCTTGCGCCTCTTAGCAAAAAGGGCAGAACAACGTCTGTTAGCCCAGCTTAGTACATTATGAAATTTTTCGAATAGCTTTTGTGTGTAATATTTAACTTTAAATATTGTAAATTACACGTGGTGAATACGTGGTAGAGGCACGCTGCAGCTATATTATGATTGTAGCATGGATGAGTCGGTTTGATCAGGGAAGGATCATGCTTTCATAGAACACCAGCGTGGAATATCACCTTAATGCTACTATGTTTCATGTGGTAAGTGTAGAGCTGTAGAGATCCGGAGACCCTCTTTTACTAGAAACGAGGCATTCGATCAATGATAGTCCTCGGGGGGTGACAGCGCATTTGCATTTTGATTTTTAATCGAGGATAGATGTAGACGTCTATGGTCCACAGCATTATCTTACCATTTAGTTGACTGTGTTCATTTGTCACCCTTATTCTATAAAAATACATCATAACAATATTTTAGGTCATTACAATTAGGGAATGCAATCTCCCGAGATTGGGGCTCAAGCGATATCCCGCGAGTTTATGTATAACAATACTGCAAGATCTCTCCAATATCGAGATCTCGCGAGATTGGCGGTATTGTGTGTTTTCTTTGCAAATAATCACAATATTTGAATAAATTAGGAAAAACAATTAAAAATTATAAGTAATAAACGAGAAGTCAAAAAAAAAAAGAAACTTATTATCTAAGTTGAGTTGACTATTATACTGAGATATTATTATCAGTTAAATAAACTATATTCACTCACTAGATCCATTAGATATTAAATTAATTAACAAAATATACCAATCAAATGAAAAATTTGTTCAGTTCAAATCACAAGCCATTATTACGAATTATTTTGAAAGTAGCTCCTTAAGAAGCACAAAATGTCCAAAGACACTAAACGGCTTCTTATTTTGTTGGCCAGGTAACCGACAGATCGCAATTCTCCTTCCGTGTCAGTTCGCGCTTTGAATAAGACGTTTTTATGCTCGAGTGCAATCTCGTTAAACTCGCGAGATCTCGCCCTTTTCTTCGTACGAGATCAATGTCGCTAAAAGAGGCCGAGTTCTCGCGAGAACGAGATTGAATTCCCTAATTACAATCAGGTGCTAAGCTAAAACTTTCCCGAATTTTTCCTTTAAAAGGATATTTTACTTATACGTATTGCTGCCCTCTCTCGCGTACCTTAACACCGTAAGAATGGACTAAGACAAATAGAAGACAAGAAGAAAAAAATTAAAAGACAAAAAGATTATTGTCTTTTTTATATTAAAATGAAAAACGAACTAACGGTCCACCTTATAGTAAGTGGCTTATGCACTCCATGTACACCTGTAGATAATTTCATATCTGCAGATGCATTGTGACCTCTGCGGACAAAGGATGTTTCTGATCGGTCGATGGTCAATCGATGCCATTGGTGTGGTAGCTTTAGCTGATCGACAGACTGGTCGATAAAACGTTGTTAAATCATCGATCGACGTCGATCGACAATTAATCTACGTGTTTATGAGCTCATCATTATCAGTGTCTTTCAAAATGCGGTCGGTGGAGCGGGGCGAGTTGTCTAATAATTAAGCATCTCGACGTTGACAAATCCATTCTACCATCGATCGTTGATCGATCGATTGGTGTGGTAACATTCTAAGATGGAATACTTTACAACCTATAATTATACTGTCTCTTTATGTTTTTCAGAGCGGAGCACAGTCAAATAGCCAGTATATGCACAGATGTAACTGCCTCGTTGGTCTAGTGGTTGTAGTAGTGCGACTGCTCATCATGTGGTCCTGGGTTCGAATCCCGGGTCGGGCAGAAAAATTAATTATTGAGTTTTTTCGTCAAGAAATTCTTAGTAGTTGCCCGGAGTCAGGAAGTTGGCGGTGTTTCACCCCCGTGCCACGGAAAGCACGTTAAGCCATTGGTACTGCGCCTGACTCTCTCCGGTCGTGTTGGACTGCCGTCCCACCGGATTATGAGAGTGAGGGAATAGAGTGCACCTGTGCTTGCGCATACACTTGGGCACTATAATCCTGTCCTGCGCCGATGGCTAGTCTCCGTTGAGGCAGGCCGCCGTGACCGAAATTCGGTCTGGAGGACATTGTATGCACAGCTGTTGTATGGCGTTTATATTCAATTTATTTTTGACATCGCGAGTTAAAAAGATATACATGCGCTAAATAGTAGTTCAGAGATTAATTATAATAGTGGACAGTTAAAAGCTTATAAATTTCTGTTTTGTTTCGTAGGATAACATGCACAAACTTCGCTCGCAGCGGTCGATGTCCGTAGTTTCACAGTTGTCCTTCAATATGGATCTCGACAACAATTTGGATCCTACGTATGAAGGTGAGTTGGTCTATACCCGTTTTCTACTTTACAACCGACTTCAAAAAAGGAGGAGGTTCTCAGTTCGACTGTATTGTTTTATGTGTGTTGGTTACCCAGAACTTTTTTCTAGGTGAACCGAATTTGATGATTTTTTATTTGAGAGCTGGTATTTCTCATGTGGTCTCATATAAATTTGATCAAGATCTGACCAGTAGTTTTTTAGTTACGATCCAAGAGCAATTCTTATCCGACACTATTCCGATGATATCCCGGACGTCAGTCTGAGCGAGATTAGAATGGCTCTCCAGCACCTTAAAAACGGCAAGGCTCCGGGCGGGGATGGAATTACAGCGGAACTTCTGAAAGCGGGTGGAAAAACGGTACTTGAAGTCCTTCAGAGGCTCTTTAATTCCGTCCTCCATCGTGGCTCTACTCCGGAGGCGTGGAGCAGAAGTGCGGTGGTCTTGTTCTTCAAGAAAGGTGACAACACCCTCTTGAAGAACTACAGACCGATATCCCTTCTGAGCCGCGTCTACGTGCTGTTTTCGAGAGTCATTACGAATCGTCTCGCACGCAGACTCGATGACTTCTGAATCTGAATCTGCCACTTTGCCTGGCGTATGTGGACTATGAGAAAGCCTTTGATTCCGCCGAAATTTGGGCGGTGCTACAGTACCTCTTCAGCGGTGCCAAGTTGACTGTCGGTATATTGAAGTACTTAAGTGTTTGTACAGTAGGGCTACGATGGTTATCCGTGAACAGAACCAGAGTACGAAACCTATCCAATTGCAGAGAGATGTAAGACAGGGTGATGTTATTTCCCCGAAACTCTTCACCGCTGCATTGGAAGACGTTTTCAAGCTACTAAACTGGAAAGAGTACGGTATTAACATCATGGCGAGTACATCACTCACCCTTGATTTGCCGACGATATTGTCCTTGTGGCAGAATCGCTGGAGAACTTAAGCAGTATACTCAATGACCTAGTGTCTCCCAACGGATAGGTCTTAAGATGAATATGGACAAAACAAAGATCATGTTTAATGTCCATGTCACACCTATGCCAGTAGTTGTTGGGAGCACTAAGATCGAAGTTGTTGACGAGTACGTTTACCTGGGACAAATAATCCGACTAGGTAAGTCCAACTTCGACCGAGAGGTCAATCGACGGATTCAACTCGGCTGGGCAGCGTTCGGGAAATTACGACGCATCTTCTCGTCAGGTATACCTCAAAACCTGAAAACTAAGTTGTACAACCAGTGCGTGTTGCCAGTGATGACTTACGGATCTGAGACGTGGTCCTTCACTGCTGGCCGTATGAGGACGCTCAAAGTTGCTCAGCGAGCTATGGAGAGGGCTATGCTCGGAGTTTCTCTGCGTGATAAACTTAGAAATGAGGATATCCGCAGTAGTACCGGAGTGACTGACATAGCCCAACGGATTATAATCAACCAAATCTCAGAAATATATTTTGACAGCTGTCAGACTTATTGCACTAAGCATGCCAACAAAAAAATTGGAACGTACAATATTCGAATCTTAAAAAAAATCGATACCGATTATTTAGAGTTGGGTAATCATTTAGTTTGGTTTGAATAATACCAGAATAAATTTAAAACGGAAAATTTAAAACACAATATTTATCAGTTTCTTCGTATTTGTTGTTACTGCTTTATTTTAAAAAAAATTTAAATTGAAACTAGATTAAAAATAAATTTATTCAATCACATTCAGTACAACTAGTAGGGATGTCGTTGTTTATATTAATTATTATTTGATTTTCAATAATGCAGTCGAAATTAATGTCTCTTTTAAAGTCATCCATAATCAATTTTTTTGTTTTTTCTACTACTTTCGCCCAATCATCCTTTGTGACATGGGCACATGCTTTAATGAATTTTTTTATAGCATTGGGTGACAAACGAGCACACAGTCCACCTGATGGTAAGTGTATGCTATGGCCCATAGACATACATATTTATTCTCAATTAAGAATCAAAATGCAAATGCGTTGTCACCCCAGAGGATTTAGATGGAATGCCTCGATTCCAGTAAAAAGGGTCTCCGGTTCTCTACACTCCATTACGCTACTATTTTACGCTGGTATTCTGTGAGAGCGTGGTCCTATCCCGCTTGAGCCGACCCATTCGTGCTATAACTATAATATAGATGTAGCGTGACTCTACCACGTACAAAAAGTTAAAGCCGAGTCACAAAATAAGAAAACAAACATAAAATCACAAAATTACGCACAGCAAGCTCTCGAAATTGAAACAGAAACTTTTTTATTTAATATAGATTATGAATAATAATTATTGAATGTCACTTTTTTCATTTACCACTGGTTCGCAAAAAAAAACCTCTGTCCTGGGAAGAACCAGCGAAAAACCCAACGTGACTAGTTTAAAAAAAAATAAGAGCTTACGATCATGCGTGTTACAATTAACAACTCAAAACCAATTATAATGGTAGCGATCACCCTTCCCAGGAGTTATTATCATCCATAAATTCCTTAATATTGAAATAACCCTTTTTATACAAACTTAGTTTAATAAAGTTTTTAAACTTTGTGTACTTACGTCAAATTTTATATATTTTCTGGGATTTTGTTGTACAAGCGTATATATCGCCCTAAGAATGAATTACTGACTCTGTGGAGTCTAGTAACTGGTACCGAAATGGCGGGATATTGAAATTATGTAGTGGATATTTTAACACGGCCTTGTACATGAGTTTTTTTGCCTACACACTTTGATAACTTAAAAAAAAAAACTTGTTTTATTCATGATTCATGTAATTTAAGGAATTTAAAAACTAAAAATTAAGTTAAACAAATAATGCATTAAAAAATTATTGATTCGATTATTTAAAATTTTTTACCGATTATTTGAATATTTTGCCGATCATTCGCATAACAACCAATTGTAATCATCCAAACACTACGGTTATATACATAGCGACATATCATTGAAACGACGCCAAGTAAAAAAAGTTAATACTGGTTATTTTTTAATATTTTGCTTTGTTTGATAAATTTAAATTTAATTTAGTGATAAAAACCTATACACGTTGTAATGAAATATAGATAACCTCATAATTCTTCGGATTTACGTAAAAGCTTATTTTAAATCGTGTGAGTACGCTGGTGCAAAGTTATTGAGGAATGATTAATGTGAAACGTCAAAAGGTATTTCTTAGATTTGGTTGACTATAGTAAGCTGAAGTGGCAATGGGCCGGCCAAATAGCTCGAAGAACCGACAACCGTTGGGGGAAAAAGGTTCTCGAGTGGCAGCCTCGTACCGGTAAGCGAAGTGTAGGGCGACCCCCCACTAGATGGGGTGACGACCTGGTAAGACATGCAGGAAGTCGATGGATGCAGGTGGCTCAGGACCGTGCTTTGTGGCATACCTTGGGGGAAGCTTATGTTAAGCAGTGGACTTGTGAAGGTTTGTAATGATGATCATCATCAGATGAATTGACTTCTACTAATACATTGATGATGTTCTCATTTTATTTATAATGAAGTCAGTTGTACAAAATTTTTAATTTTACCACTTATTTGTTGACGTAATAATGGTCAAAATACCTCAGAATATAAACCGATGAGTTTGATGATAGAGAAAAGAAATTTGTGCATATATTTCTCTTTCGTATTCGCGTATCTATTCGCGTGGCTATTATTACTTATAGAGTATGTATTAGTATAATTTTTTTATATGTTATTATTTTTAATTTAAAAAGGGCGGGAAGGTAGCACATAGTCCACCTGATGGTAAGTGGATGTTGTGGATCAAAGATAGATTTTTACGTGATAGAGCCATGCTGCAGTTATATTAGTAGTATAGTTGTAACACGAATGGGTCGGCTCTACCGGGGAAGGACCACTCACAGAATACAAGCGTAAAAGTAGCAGCTTAACGCTGCTGTGTTTCATATAGTGAGTGTTTTTACTGGAAAGGAGGCATTTCATCTTAGTCCTCACGGTTACAACTGCTCCGGTCGAGCTGACCCATTCATGCTACAACTATAATATGGCTACAGCGTGGCTCTACCACTTAAAAATGATTCGCAAACCTGCTGTTGAAAATATAAGCCTTCTCTAAGAGATGCTACAATACAGGATTCTGAGCCACCTGCATAAATTAACATCCTGCATGTCTTAGAGATCATTAAACTGACGTGGAAAAGGGGCCGGCCGTATAGACCGGGCCCCACACTCTTTAAAGTGATGACCTGGTAAGATATATTCGCCACGTCATTATCTACTTGCCAGGTGAAAATCAGAACAAAGGGTCCGTGGACAACAGTGTGTATCTGGCGTACATCAAGAGCGGTGGAAGCTTGTGGTCCATGACTTTACTGTTTACGCTGTTCTTGCTGGCTCAAGTCTTCTATTCTTCTACTGATATTTGGCTGAAAGAATGGTGAGTGTTGAATCCTTTTTATTTATCTTTTTTCCTTGAGCCTTTTTTTATGTGGGCAGTACCTACAGCACTACTGAGCCATCTTCCTCCCTTTTTTTAAGGAATTAGTGTGACAAACGAGCACACAGTCCACCAGATGATAAGTGGATGCTGTGGCCCATAGACATCTACATTTAACCTCGATTAAGAATCAAAATTCAGATGTGTTGTCACCCCTGAGGACTAAGATGGAATGCCTCGATTCTGGTAAAATGGGTCTCAGGTTGTCTCCACTCACTATACAAAACACAACAGCATCAAGCCGCTATTTAAATGTGTATTTTGTGAGGGCGTGGTCCTTCCCCAGTCGAGCCGACTTTTTCGTGCTACAACCATAATATAGCTGCAGCGTGGCTCTACCACGTAAGAAACTGACGCGAACTCAAAAGCACCGTTTCTGGTAAGGAAACACCATAAATGCCTCACAGTCTTTTATTATAATGCCTTTCTATAACCCTTCAGACCGGACAACAGCGGTGCAGGTGCTGCTACTTGGCGACAGAAGTGGGTGAGAGGGTGGTTCTTACCTAGACTGACTCCTAGGCACCAAACGAGTCCTACGATTGAATAAAACATAGAATACATACTTAATAGAACGGGGGAGTGGGCGGAGCCCGTGTAACCACCGACATGTCAATTCATACCCATAAATGTCAATACAATCAATCGTTTCCAATTTTCGGGATGTTTGATGTACCAATGTTATAGTTAGCCCGGCTACCTTCAGTTTTTAAATATTAATTTTTGGTCGGATCTACGCAGAACAAGTTTACAGTATCTCGAAGTCTTCCAGTGGTATGCTTGGGTTTGGATTTAATTTTGTTAATTATAGGATCCCAAGCACATGGCAGCACCCATCCATCTTCTCTATTGAAATTAAGATGTTTTTAATTTCAATAAGTAGGAATCGGTGTTCTTTTACGAGGATTTTTGGTTTATCAAATATGATGTAGTGGTGGGGACGATCTTGAACATGTGAACATGTTAAAAACAAGTTCATTAAACGCGATAAAATCCGTATAAATGGTTTTATTCAATGTGTAGTGTTTGCATCAATTTTATTAATCATTAGAAGTCCTAATACCTAGTGAAACGTAATAATTTGTTTAATAACAGTAATAACGTTCGATATTGTAAATATATCGGCCTAAAAACTTTTTTGAATTATTAAAGTCGTGATATCTGATCGCTTGTCTTCTAAAAAAATATCTACATGTCTCTAAATCCGTAGAATATTTTCATAATGCAGAAAAAAAACTTTTTACTACGGTTTCTTTTGTATTCTGAGGGTGTATTGAAAAAGTTAATAGTTTTCTCCGGTTTGTTGAGATAATTGCGAGAAAATATATATCTACAACACGTACGAATTAACTTGAGACTCCGCTGGAATGCGACCCCCTTCCCGACTCCCCGCACCGCGTCCCGCGCTGGCCGTGCGCGCTCAGTACCGATAGCATTTTTGTTACGGATACGCGTCTCGACTCTAGTTCGATATTTTTGATAATTGTTTGTTGTTTGGTTTGGACTTTTGAAGAGAGAATTAATTATATCCCTCGGAGGGGAAGAATCCAGCTCAGAGAGTGAAAGTGAGGACGATCTAATGGACGGAATAGAACCGATCGTATACAGTGACAATGAATAATAAATATTATAATAAATCCTTCTTAATATTCCTTTCTTCTATTCCTAGATTTTACATAGTTTGTGCTGTTCCGCTTATCCAAGATTGATTCACTTTCACCCTAAGGTTGCCTGGGAGAGATTGCTTTTTAGCTATAAGGTCGCCTGTTATGCTTTGTATTTTTATTGTGTACGAATCTGTAACACTTTTTATAGTGCAATAAAGTGTATAATAAATAAATTAATAATATTATAAATGAGAAAGTGTGTATGTTTATTTCTTTGTCCTTCCTTGACGCGTTAACTAAAAATAATATTATATATATTATAAAAAATAAATATTTAAAATATATAAAAATGGCAACAGTATATCACTTATTACTTCACCCCTTGCCAGAACATTTTATTTTGTTTTTATTAATAATCTCATGCAAATCTCAAAAATTTTAAATAAAAAAATATTACGACGCATTATTTTGCACACCGTACATTGACAATTACGTCATCGGCCCAGGTCTCAAGTTAATTCGTACGAGTTATAAACCACACAAATTGCAACTTTGTGGTAATAAATGAAGTGGGTTTTTATAATAACAACATTTACTAGCTCTGTGAAATCGAGTAAATGCTATTAAAAGCCTGTGTTTTTTCTAGTGTCTATACATTATTACGCGAAGGGAAAACTGTGTAATCCTTTTTAATCATACTGCGCGATCCGTCCGCGGAGTGTTAAAGTTTACATGAAAAAAGAGAAAGCTAAATTCATGTATAATATAAGTATGTTACAAATATGTACATTATTTAATTTAACGTTCATAGTGTGTGAGAAATTGTGTGATAAGAGAAGAGTGTGGTTTGCAAGACGATGTTGTGACCAGGATTAAGAAAGGAATGCTTCGTTGGTTTGGTCATGTGGAAAGAATGAATGAGGAAAGAGTGACAAAGAAAATTTATGTTGCAGAAGTGAATCTACCATTCACTTCTGCAACATAAATTACCTACGGGAGGGGAGTCCTACGGGAGTAGGACTTTAAGACAATAAAAATTTTTAGTTTAGTTCTTTTTTATTACAGTTTTTTTTTTGATATTACGTGTCAATAAAAATAAAATTGTAGCTTTTTGAAATTGAAATCATAAAAAAATTAAACTAGTTTTTATGGATTTTATTCCGTTTAATTTACTTATTTTTACTTGGTCATGTGGAAAGAATGAATGAGGAAAGAGTGACAAAGAAAATTTATGTTGCAGAAGTGAATGGTAGAGTCGGAAAGGGACGTCCTAGGTGAAAATTTATCGACCAAATTGGCGATTTATTGAGAAATTAAACGGACCAAATTAGGAGTACCCTTAATCGACGAGCATGTATGCGTAGGTATATGGATGTGACGGAGGCGAGAGAGGTGTGTCAGGATTGTGCCAACCAAATGGAAGTCTGTAGTCTCTGCCTACCCCTCTACCCTCCTACTCCTACTCCTACTCCTACCTACTTCTACTACTACTCCTACTCCTACCTACTACTACGCCTAACTCCTACTCCTACCTACTCGTACGCCTACCCCTCTGGGTGACAGGCGTGAGTGTTTATGTATGGTATTATGTTTATATGTATTATGTTCTTAGTGTTAATGTCTCAGAGTGAGGATAAGCAAAGGTAAGTTACTACGGAGTGTAGAGGTAAGGAGAACAGACAGTGTATTAAAAAGTTTCCGTAGAAAAGCGTTAAACAAGTCACTTTTAAAGAACTTTTTATAACATTTTATTGCAAAGACTTTCACTATAATTCTTATTATAATAATTATTTTATTGCTATCAACATTTTTATTTTAAAAATCACCCTCAACGTGTCTCACGGCGACTTTTTCTAGGTTATATTTACTAAATTATTTTAGACAACGTGAGTAGTTGAGGTTTTAAATACTGCAGTTTCATCAACTACTTTAGTCACCACAAATATGAAATTCCTCAGCTCAGCACATTTCACTCCGTCGACAACTGCTAAGTTCATTTCATATCCTCTAGCTAGTACTCCAACGCTGTAGTGGAGAGTTTTTGAAGTGTTATTTTACTACTTACACATGGACACTTTTTCAACTATTCCTCTATATGAGTTGGTTCTCCTTACCTTTACACTGCATGTATATTACTACTCTAAGGTCAAACCCTTAATAATCTGTGGTAATACAGTCGCACAGAGTAGAAATTGTCGTCACTGAATTACAAAATATTGCCAACAAATAATTACTGACAGATAGACTGAATGAGCTGTAAATTTTGTGTTATTTTAAACGTAACTTTTTCAATATAGCGTGTATGTTAAGGCAAAAAGCGTTTATTTTATATTTTGCGTTTATTAGATGTCTTTGTTTTATATATTTAATCTGCGGTTGAAAGTGAAATACAGCTTAATATACTAACTGAAAATTTAAATTTTACGGTCGAATTTCGATCACTAGTTTATAACGAATATCGATTTTGTTTTCCTATTAAAGCTTTTTATGTTTTTACTTTTTATGTTTGTACAAACATTTCATTCTGTAAATATTTTGTTTCAGGGTTAATATGGAAGAGCAAAATAGTGCTTATATACTCGCAGGCGCGAATCGAACAAATGATTCATCTGTAGCTCCACCAGCAGGTAATTCCCAATTTTTATAGTAATTTTTATATTTCTGCTTATTATTACGTAGTTGCAATGGGTGCGTTTGGCAGAAAAAAGCGCTAGCAAGCGCTTGTAAACAAAATGGCGATCGTAAGCGGTAAGCGCTGTCAAATCGTAAGTAGCTATTTTCCTCTAGGACACGAAGTTAGTTTTAACCGAGGAATCTAACCTAAATTAAATATACGTTTGTAAAGTATTCATATTAAAAACTTACCTTACCTTTATAATTTTTAATAACATGTATATGTCTATTCATGTCATTATATTACTTAAAACTAATATTGCAAAAAACAACTTATAAACTCTACTTCAAAACAAACAAATTAAATAAGCAAAATGGCGGATTGTGTCAGCGCTACTGAAGTAGCAATCGTGTCCTGGCCGAAAACTATTTTAGCGCTAGTAAGCGCTTGCTAGCGCTTTTTTCTGCCAAACGCACCCAATGTAAGTAATAAATCCTTGATAATATAATGATGACGACTATATTATCGTCCTCTTTCATCTCACATCGCTCAGAAAGTGGTCGTGACACATCACACTTATTCTATAAAGAAAAAACTCTGCCTCGTTGGTTTAGTGGTTGTAGTAGCGCGACTGTTGATCATGAGGTCCCATGTTCGAATCCCGGGTCGGGCCAAAAAATATTAGTTATTCAGTTTTTCCATTAATAAATTCTCAGTGACTGCCCAGAGTCAGGAAGTTGGTGGTGTCTCACCCCCGTGCCTCGGAAAGCACGTAAAGCCGTTGGTCCTGAGCCTGATTTCTCTCTGGTTGTGTCGGTTTACTGTCCCATCGGATTATGAGAGTGCGGGAATAGAGAGTGCACCTGTGCTTGCGCATGCACTCGGATAATATAATCCTGTCCTGCGCCGATGGCTAAGTCTCCGTTGAGGCAGGCCGCCGTGGCCGAAATTCGGTATGGAGGACATTATTATTATTATAAAGAAAAAACCTATTCTTTGCAACACTGTAACATTCTCGTTGACTTAGCTGAAAATTCTAGTTAGGAGGAGAAATTGCAGCTTTGTAGTATCCTACCGACATTTCTCTTTGAAGATGTAAATATAAATAACTTGCAGACTTCCAACACATCCCGGCGAACTATTTCCACCTGACACGAGAGCAGTGCGTGTACATCTACGCGAGTCTCATCGGCATCTGCATATTCTTCACGTGGAACAAGCTGGTCGTGTTCTACAACATTTGCATCAGGGCCTCCATCACACTGCACGACAATATGTTTAGGTGAGTAAATTTACCATACTATACATTAATCATGCTCACTTGAAAAATTTATTTAATAAAAAAAAATTGTTGCACGTATCCACTACCTCATATCGCCCCGTGATTGTCGTAAAATGCGACAGAGGTAAACAAGCCAGGAGATGGGCAGCAGAGTCTTCCTGATAACAACTCTAAATTATAAAACTGCGCTTGGCAACCCGCTTGCCAAGCGTGGCAAATATGGCAAAATCTAAATGAGGCAATCTATAGGGGCAGCCTATGTTCAGCAGTGGATTTTTTATATTCATTTTTTATAGGCTGTAATGCGTGGATTAATTTAACGGAAAGTGTTCAAGTGGCGGACTAAATACCTTTGGACATTCTCTACTTATCAACCACGAGTTAAGCAGAGCAATTTAAGCAGGTGCCGTAAAAACACGAAAATATGTATACATAATAAACATAAAAAATAATGTTTGTTGATTCGTATTTTATACGCTGCCATACTGTTCGTCAGATTGCGGTAAAACTTTGCCAACTTATCGGTTGCACTTGCACGAAGGTTATAGGCATAGTACAATTACCTTATACTAGGTGGCGCCTGTATCGTACCGACAAATTTATTTTGAAGTTATAATATATCATTCGACTTCAATGATAATCATTTCGATTATAGAATATAACTGTTCCAATTTTAAAACGATTTCTCCACAATACTTTCTTCTGCGGCTGCGACGCACCGGGGACTAGCTAGTAATATATATATATATATATATATATAAAAACATAGCACATATATGTACATACATACACATTACATTTACCCCTTTATTCATAAACATTTTTAAACACTTGTTTAGTTAAATGACGTTTTGTCACTTTCTAGCAACAAGTGACTCGCAAATGTCAGAATGAGACAAAACATTATTTAACTAATCAAGTAAGGGGTTCATGTTTTTTTCGGGGGTTTGTATATTTAAGATTTAACTTAGTCATGCGGGAGTGATGTTATGTAGTGTATAGAGAGCAGCATCTTCTTGATAACAACTTAAAATAATAAAAAACGGCTTTTCCTAACCCAAGCGTGGCACCCTGATGACGCTATCTATGGTGGTAGCTTCTGCGGTGAACTTTGGATAGATATGCTGTATGAACGAATGAATAAATGAAATCTGATGTAACGTGGAGAGGGCCTAATATCTTTTATGTGTATGACTTTCACTATTTTAATCTGGTTAAGGGAAATAATACCTGAAAGATTTTGGAAAATTAACCAAAAAAATACAAGCTAAAATTAAATCTAAATCAGTTTGTACGCACCCTTATTTATGTTTCGGTTACATTAATTGTTCGGTCATTACCATTTGTGCGCGATGTTCAAACCTATTTAATTGTTTACGTTTTACCCACATCTATAGTTAATATTCTGTATGCTCGTAATGGATTCCTTTATTAGTGTTTGTAAATTTTATTTTATTTGTAATCTTTGGAGAAATAAATAATATCTTAAACCCCAAAAACCTAAAGATTCTGGTTCTGTCTAGTTGTAAGGAGGGTTTGACTTAATTACATGAGCTGGGTCAGATACCTTTTTTATCGTGGGGGAAATCCTTATGGATACATTAGGCTAGGGGGGCAACAAAATGGTCATCCTGGACTTATACCGACTACTGGCACATCTTGCAGTCTGTTTCATTGTTTTTTTTTTTTAATAAAAATTTACTTGTTTAATTTACAGAGGGGTGACGAACGCACCGATGTGGTTCTTCCACCACAATCCATCCGGTCGCATATTGAATCGTTTCTCGAAGGACATGGGCCAGGTGGACACTTTGTTGCCCGTCGCCTTAGTTGACTGCCTTGGGGTGAGTGAGAATGTTTATGGAATAATATTTTTTATAGGTTTATCACAATATTACAATGTTTGAACTTGGGGAATGTAGATTAGCCAGACGAAGAGAGTATACATATCGTAATTTTTTGTTTGATAATTTTTTTTATATAGAATAAGATCGACATAGGAGCATGTAATTCACCTGATGGTAAGTGGATGTTATGGCCTTGATCCCCGATTAAGAATCAAAATGCAGAATGTATTGTCATTCTTTAGAAATAAAATGGAATACCTCGTTCCTAGTAAAAAGTGCCATAAATCGTATTATTTTTAATATAATTTTAAAATTATCATATGTTCTTTTTTATGTTTGTATGTTTGACAGAATAAGTAATCATGGAAAAATAGCTGATATGTTTATCTAGAGGTGCGTATCATTAATACGTGGTTGGGCCACGCTGCAGCTATGTTAGGGCTGTAGTACGAATGGGTTGGCTCGGCTGGGGAAGGGCCACGCGCTCACAGAATACCAGCCCAGAACCGGCGACCCTTTTTACGGAAAACGAGGGATTCTATCTTAGTCCCCAGGGTTGACAATCTTTATGCACTTTTCTTCTTAATCGGAGATAAATGTAGATGTTTACGGGCCACAGCATCCACTTACCATCAGGTGGACCGTGTGCTTGTTTGTCAAACTCATGCTATAAAAAAATAAAACATTCATTGAACAAAATGGGGTTATTGGTATGCTTACAAGAAATGCAACAAATCTTAGATTATTTTAAAAATTTCTCTTCAGTTCTTCCTAGAGGTGGTTTCGATTCTTGTCGTCGTGTGCTTAGTCAACTGGTGGCTACTACTGCCCACAGCTGTAGTGGCCGTCCTCCTGCATCTGCTGAGGAATCTCTTCCTGAACACCAGTCGCGAGCTGAAGAGGATTGAGGCTATAGGTGGGCGGGAATTTATTTCTTTTTTCAATTTCAAGTTTACATCTTAGAAAGTTTATTAAGCTATTGCATAGCTTCTATCGCGGGCCTTGAGCGCGGGGACCGAATCCAGAAATTCCGTAACGAAAAAAAACCTCACGCTCCCCACTCCGACGGGCACGGAGGTGTGGCTTGAAGGCCGTGCATCGTCTAACGTCGTTTCTTTTCGGCAGACTTCGACACGGTGTTGATAAATATTCCTGAATAACCAACAGCTACTGTAAGATAATAAAACCCACATGTATTGTAAAATAATAAAAATATTTTAAACAATAAAAGAAAAAAAATTGTTTTCTTATCGGTCACCACGCTCAAAAAGTGTAACTTGAATTAATATCAAAGAAAAAGAAATACTGCATAAATAAAATAAATAAAAAATAATTATAATTGCATAAGTTGATACAAAATGCTATGCAATAGCTTTACCGCGGCAGTCCCCGAGTGCCACACGTCTTTTGTTTACTATATAACCAGACGTTTTGTACCACGTATAAAACTTTAACACGTGCTATAACCATGGAGTCCACTCTGACGTTTCAAGCTAGGGATCTTTTTATGAATGTAACGCAGTTTTGTATCTTATTTAATTGTTTTAACGTTTTTTCAATATGCTGTTTACCGGCTGACTTTTCATTACTCATGTTTTTTTAACTGCAGCTCGTAGCCAAAGTCTCAACCACGCCGCCGCCACGGTGTCCGGTCTGACGACGATACGTTCGTGCGGTGAGCGGCAACGGACCCTGGCCCGCGAGTTCGACAAGCTCCAGGACCTGCACAGCTCCGCCTGGACGCTGGTGCTCGACACCAACCGGGCGTTCGGATTCTGGATGGACATGGTCTGCTGTCTCTATCTGGCCTTTGTCACATTCAGTTTCTTCTTGTTTGTCAGTGCTGGTAAGTGACTTACGTCATTTTGAAGTGCAAATTCTTTTTAGAATCGTTACTTGTACATGAAACGAAAAAGCGACAGTAAAAGACAACAAACAGTATAGGATTTAGCCTGCGAGAGAATGAGATGGAGTCCAGAGGTAGTAGACCGCAAACACAAATGGTTGTGGGTGCGAATCCGCCATTCCACTACTGTCTTTTTTGTCTTTAAAAAAATCTATTGCTAGTATTTTGCTTCAAAAATACATTGTTACTTATTATCTCAGTCTCCTATTTGTGCCGTGCCTTGAATATGGTTAATATACACTAATATTAAAATAAACAAAGTAATAATTTAACAACATTTTAATTAAATAAAATTAACCATATTGAATAAAATTATCTTAATATTATGCCAATCCTTTTATAACAATCCGTGATTTCATAACTTCAGGCCATCTAGCACCTCTTTTAAGTACCACCTTGAAAGTCAATCAATATTTGTTTGATAGCAATGACTTTACCTATATAATAAAGTAGATGGCGCTATTACAAACCAATTCTGTTCAAAAGAAAATATTGTTTTGATTTATTACAGTTAGTAAAAATATATGTTAGCTTACAATTAAATTATTACAAAATATTTTAAATATCAATGTTAATTTAGATTTTTAAATTGCGGTTAGTAACCTCAGGCCAACAAAAGTATAGACGTAGCACTGCGTAACACCAACACATACAATACAATATCTTTTGTAACATATGTGTTGAAAATATCCTTTTAATTTATTACCATAAAGTTTAGTCTAAAAATATGGGTTGTGACGTTTATTTACTATAAAAATAAACTTTTATCTTGTGGTTGAAAATGGTCATATAGAATAAATAATTTGCCGTGAAATTGAAAGAGCTCACAGTTTGCCGTGAAAGTGAAACTTACACACATGTTTTTATTTATTTATTTTAACGTTAGAATTTAACGTACTTAAAGTATTGATTTTAAGAATTAACTACAAACAAAGAAGGCGTTGGGGAAGAAAGGTTCTCGAGTGGCAGCCTCGTACCGGTAGGCGTAGTTTAGGGCGACCCCCCACTAGATGGAGTGACGACCTGGTAACACACGCAGGAAGTCGATGGATGCAGGTGGCTCAGGACCGTGCTTTGTGGCATTACTTGGGGGAGGCCTATGTTCAGCAGAGGCTGTAACGATGATGATGATGATGAAAGAAGGCTGCAGATGTGTTGTCGTCTCTGAGGACTAAGACTGACAGACTGAGGAATACCTCACAGCCTGTAATTATATCGGTTCACTTAGCCTACATGCTTGGCAGTAGTCACATGTCCTTGGAATTTTTTTAATTTCTCAAACAGTGTTTGTTGACTACTATCCCGTCTGATGGTAAGTGGTGATGCAGCCGAGGATGGTAAAGCTCACTTACTTTACAATCTCTTACTCTTGCCAGACGCCCACATTGAAGAATGGAAAGACTGAAGAGAATGATGCTGGCAACTTTTTCCATTGATATATGAATATCTAAAACTATGTTACCGTTGAGTACGTGAGTGCGTGTTTTTATGATAACTAGAGAATTGTTTTGCCATGGATTTTGCGTCACTTGAAATGTCGCACACTTTGTCTTTCTTTCTTTGATGGTTTGAAATAATAATGGAGTAGCTATGTTTAAATTTTTTTTCTACGTGGTAGAGCCATGCTGCAGTTATATTGCTAGTATAGTTGTAGCACGAATTAGTTGACTCGGCCGGGGAAGGACCACGCTCTCACAGAATACCAGCGTAAAATGGTAGCTTAATGCTGCTGTGTTTCGTATGGTGAGTGTAGAGAACCGGAGACCCTTTTTACTGGAAACGAGGCATTCCATCTTGGTCCTCACGGGTGACAACGCATCTGCATTTTAATTCGTAGTAGAGAATAGATGTAGATAATGATTTCTTAAATTTACGCGAACACTACACATTGAATAAAACTATTATTTACGGATTTTATCGCGTTTAATTACTTTAATTTATTTTTATTATTATCTCGACGTTTCGCGTGCTTTACAGCGCCCATGGTCACGGGGGGGACTGAGATGTTTGACGTCCCAATGTCATAGTTAGTCCGGCTACCTTCAGTTTTTTAATATTAATTTTTGGTCCGATTTACGCAAAACGAGCTTATAGTATCATGAAGTCTTGCAGTGGTATGCTTGGGTTTGGGTTTAATTTTTGTTAATTATAGGATCCCAAGCAGATGGTAGCACCCAACCATCTTCTCTATTGAAATTTGGATGTTTTTTTAATTTCAATAGCTTCGCGTATCATCCTTGGTAGGAATCGGTGTTCTTTTGCGAGAATTTGTGGTTTATCAAATCTAATGTAATGGTGGGGACGATCTTGAACATGTTCGCAGACTGCAGACTTCCCGGAGCGTCGGTGCTTCACATCAGCTATATGTTCCTTCACGCGGGTTTTTATAGATCTCTTTGTTTGACCTATGTAAGAGAGACCACATTCACAATCTAGCTTATACACACCTGCATCTTGTAGAGGAATATTACATTTGATGGATGGTAAAAATTGACTAATCTTCTTCAGCGGCTTGTAGTATGTCTTAATGGACGCTCGCTTCAAGATGTAGCCAATCTTGTCCGTGACTCCTCTAACATATGGTAGTAGAGCAGGCGCGCGCTCGACTGTGGCCGGCTTCACTCGTTCACTGTGACGTAGGCGCGGGACCCGAAGCTTGTTGTCTTGCAATACTTGCTTGACGTGCTGAAGCTCCGCGGCCAGATGTTTTCTGTCACAGATCCCTCGTGCTCTCTGAAACAAAGATTTACCCACGGTAGCTAACTGTGAAGGATGATGGTGAGATTCACCATTTAAATATCGGTTGGTATGGGTCTTTTTCCTATACACAGTGTGACCAATAGTGTTATCAGGATTTCGGATGACTAAAACATCTAGGAAAGCTAACGAATTATTTGCCTCTAACTCCATTGTGAATTGTATTTTAGAGTTTATGGAGTTAAGGTGGTCTAAAAATGCAATTACTTTGTCAGATGGTAAAATTGTGAAAGTGTCGTCTACGTACCGCTTGTAGAACCTTGGATTTACAGGAGCAGTAAGAAGGGCTTTCTCCTCAAAGTCCTCCATGAGTATGTCGGCGACTATGGGAATATGATCAATTTTTACCATCCATCAAATGTAATATTCCTCTACAAGATGCAGGTGTGTATAAGCTAGATTGTGAATGTGGTCTCTCTTACATAGGTCAAACAAAGAGATCTATAAAAACCCGCGTGAAGGAACATATAGCTGATGTGAAGCACCGACGCTCCGGGAAGTCTGCAGTCTTCGAACATGTTCAAGATCGTCCCCACCATTACATTAGATTTGATAAACCACAAATTCTCGCAAAAGAACACCGATTCCTACCAAGGATGATACGCGAAGCTATTGAAATTAAAAAACATCCAAATTTCAATAGAGAAGATGGTTGGGTGCTACCATCTGCTTGGGATCCTATAATTAACAAAATTAAACCCAAACCCAAGCATACCACTGCAAGACTTCATGATACTATAAGCTCGTTTTGCGTAAATCGGACCAAAAATTAATATTAAAAAACTGAAGGTAGCCGGACTAACTATGACATTGGGACGTCAAACATCTCAGTCCCCCCCGTGACCATGGGCGCTGTAAAGCACCCGAAACGTCAGGATAATAATAAAAATAAATTAAAGTAATTAAACGCGATAAAATCCGTAAATAATAGTTTTATTCAATAGATGTAGATGTCTATGCGCCACAGCGATCACTTACCCACCCTATCCTATAAAAAAATATATCAAGGTTGAGATATATTTTTATTTTTGTATTTCTATGGCAGACACCATGGGTGGTAGCGTCGGTCTAGCAATAACGCAAGTGATTGGATTGGTCGGAATGTGTCAGTACGGCATGAGGCAGACGGCTGAAGTAGAGAACCAAATGACATCGGTAAGTTTATTTTTAAAGAATTTATTCTGAAAAATGTAGTGACAAGTAAAATGATGTTGTGACTAGAAAAAGAAAGAAATGCTTCGGTGGTTTGATCATGGAAAAAGAATGAACGATGAAATCGTGGCAAAGCTTATCTATGTTGCAGAAGTGAATGGCAAAGTCGGGAAGTGACGCTTTAGGCGAAAGTTTATTGATTAAATTGGCGATAAATTAAAAATGGACCAAATTAAGAGTACCCTTAACTGACGAGCATGTATGCGTAGGTATGTGGATGTAGAAGAGGTGAGAGAGGTGTGTGTGTGTTGTGGTTAGGATCATGCCAAATGGAAGTCCGCAGTCTATGCCTACCCCTCTGGGTGACAGGCGTGAGTGTTTATGTGTATGTGGTAATCTGATAGTGTTACCGTAGGATGGCGGAATGCATCACCTTATAACGTTTCATGAGTGTCGTAAAAGTTGAATATGGGATATGCTAGAAAGACCTCACGGCTTCCATATATGGCAGTATAACCATCTCATTCACGTTAGTATAAGAATAAGTTTAGACTGCATAAACAATTTCGCAAAAGTCGCAATCAGTAAAAACAAAAATATCACAGCACGAGGTTGCCACACCAAATTACATACTTGATAAAAATCGTAATAAAGAAAACAAAAAAAAACCAAGAAAAAAAAAAAGAAATGACCCGGCCTGAACTGAAATTCCAACCCCCAACCACATGATCGGCTACGCTTACGAGCAGTTCACCAAGGAAGTTGTCACCATGAACTGCGTTAGTAGATATAATGCATATAAAGAAAAGTCTGACCTTCATTTACTCATTTTAGGTTGAAAGAATATTGGAATACACCAATCTACCAGCGGAGAAACCGGTAGACGTGGACGAAAAGGCACTAAAAGCTGAACACCCCGGCTTAGACTTTGACAAGTGGCCAAGTAAAGGTAAGCATTGATTGTTAAACGATACATATGTTAAAAATGGGGAGCGGAGGGGTGCGAAAATATTAGTGACGTGTGTGCTACCAATTGAATTACCATTCGGGGATCCCCCGTTGTTTGGATAGTGATCAGTGAAAATCATCAATTGGCAATCTGTGTGAGAACAGGCTTGTGGGGTGGCGACTAAATGGTAGGTTGGGACCAGGGACTCTCGTCTACCAGCTGGTCGCACATTTTATACAGTGTATATTTTATCCTTGATGTGTTTTTATATTAAATATTTATCGGCTATGGTCACATCAGTGCCTCTCAAAGCAACTGACAAACTAAATTGTGTTCCGAAAGCTAACAGTCCACCTGATGCTAAATGACTACCGCAATTCATGGACATCTGCAATCAACTTCGAACATAGAAGGCCACAGATGCGTTGTACATTTGCGGACAAAAACGGAATACGGTGGTAGAGCCGCGCTGCAGCTACATTATGGTTGTAGCACGAATGGGTCGGCTGGACCGGGGCAGGACCACGCTCTCACAGAATACCAGCGTAAAATAGCATTTCAATGCTGTTGAGTTTCGTAAGGTGAGTGTAGAGAACCGGAAACTCTTTTTAAAAGGCAGTCTATGGGACAGGCCTGCATTCAGTAGTGTACTTTTATAGACTGTAATGGATGAATGGACTTATTTTTTAATGTTTCATTTGAACAGGAGAAATCATCTTCGAAGACGTATCGTTAGAGTACGAGAAACCTCCAAAGAAAGATCAAACTCCGACAGAACCAACTCCCAAAATAGAGGAGCCAGCGTACGCGATACGGGGAGTGAACTTCAGTGTGAAAGCCGCGGAGAAGGTGGCCGTCGTGGGCAGGACTGGTGCCGGCAAGAGCTCGCTCATTGCTGCGTTGTTCAGGTAAGGAATTGTGACGGCGTTGGACTAGTTAGAATAATTTTTTGTAATAATTTCTTTAGTAAACTGTATTTTTGTTCGTCTGACTGTAATAAGATAAACTTCATGGGGACTTAGTGGCGAAACTTCCCTTAAAGCCGAAAAGCCGGGCTTGCCTTATTAAACCTGAATCAATCAATAATATCAATCAATAATATCAACTAATAAAATAACTCGTAAAATGTTTCAAACTATTTCAAATTTCCCGCGCACTCCACTGTTCGACACATGTCGACCGATGACCTCGTATTGCCTTAGCGATACTGCTGCTGTCATAAAAAATGAGTTTTAATAGAGCTAATAATTGTCTCCCTCGCACGCGTGGGCTTTTTTACGGGGCTTTCGAGAAGACGATCGCTCTCTTTCTAACCTATGGCAAAATATTCTATAACGAAATATAACTGCGGTTGTATATATAGCAATTAGTATAGAGATTTAAAGCCAGGCTTTTGGGAAATGGGAATAAATTTGTTAAAAGCGGAGGCCCGCGGGTAATACGTTTGCAAGTTCATTTCACGTTTCAATGTTTATTTACTCTGTGTGCTTATCTTAAGCGATTTAATATTACGAGTTCAAAATTTATGCTTTTTTTTTAAAGATTTTTAATGAAAATGGAGGATAATAGTGTTACTTGTGATGAATTGAAGTGTGTTAAATGATAATCGGAGAGGAAATCTTTAAACTTTGTTGAGATAATACACAAGGTTAAGAGTGTATTTCAGTCTTATCAATTATCGCAATTAAAAACAGTTATTGGTACAATTAAAACGTTCACCAATATTTTACGTGGACGTAATTAAATCTTTCCATAAGAAAGCGATTATCTTATCTCTTATCCATTAGAATGTAAATATTTTTTTTTAATTTTGTACATAGTTTGTTTGTACTTTGTTCGTGTTTTACTTTTGTTCATGTATTGTATTGGATGTAAATATTTTTTTCTTTCGCTTAAACAAACCCAAACGGCTTTCTTCAAAGCCAGCGAAGCTATGCAATTGCTGATATGTAATACAATCTATCTAGCAGTGGTATGCCTTCTGTGTGCTTTGTTAAACACGTCCTTGACAGCACTGAATATGAAACTGAAGCGTGGAGACAGATCAAGATTGGTGTATTTTTATAAAACTGCTAAAACAACAATCTATATTTTTATCAATTTATATCTTGGGCTTGCCCTAGCTTGGAGCTCTAGCTTCGCCACGGGACTCCTTCGTCAAGGAGATGATTAGGCTGATGTTTGGGCAGTGTACCCATTTCTGTTTTACGCTTTGAAGGATACAATAGTCAATATAAATACATAATGATAATGTAAGGGTGTCGCATGAAATGAAATGAAAACTCTTTATTTTTCTACGAAATAAATTAACATTTGTGAAACGTCAACATGTTTTATAATCTATCATTCGAAGTTGAGGTTCCTTTGTCCGGAAAAGAAACTGCAAAAGGAACTATGCAGGTAACTTTCTTGTCATATTTTAATTCCAATAACATGATATTCATAATCCAAGTTAGAGAGTAATATATAATATACCTATAAGTAATCAAAGTTAACAAACTAAACGAATAACCTCATTCCTTTAAGTTAATTGCGGATATCAATAGGCCCGTGTTGCAGTGAAGTGACGGCGTAGGAGATTCTATTACCCTGTATCATTGGGCGTAGGAGGGCATAAGATCAACTAAAACAAGAGATGGGCGGCAGCATCTAAATGAAAACAGTTCAAAATAATAAAAAAATGGTTTTACTGTCCCCGCATCCAAAGAAATTATGTAAGAGTTAACCGTCCGCTCTTGATGAAGTACAGTTCACATTTTTAACTGCTTTATGAGTATTGGCATCATTAAGCCTGACTTGTTAGGGAGGCTGGATGTCATCGAGTTTACGTGCGAGATGATTTGATCATAATTACTCGAAAATAGCACGTAGACGCGGCTAAGAAAGGAAATCGGTCTGTAGTTCATAAACAAAGCGTCACCTTTCTTGATGAAAAAGACCACCGCACTTCTGCTCCACACCTCCGGAGTAGTGTTATGATGGAGGTTGGAATTAAAGAGCTTTTGAAGAACTTCAAGTACAAGTTTTCCACCCATTTTCAGAAGCTCTACTATAATTCCATCCTTGCCGTTTTTAAGGTGCTGAAGAGTCATACTAATCTCGCTCAGACTGCCGTCCTCAATATCATCGAAATAGTGTCGGATAAGACTTGCTCTTGGATCGTTACTCACACTTGCGTGCGGCTACAACATAGACGTGTACAGCTGCCCACAGAACCTCTCAGTCTCATTCAAACGATGCTGCCACATTCGTTCTTCAGCTCCGTTTGCTTTTTCTAGAAGACAGATCCATGGCAAAGACTAGAGCTCTCGTTCCGCTCGATCGCTTCTTCAATACGAGCTGTATTGACGTTGCGTAAGTCCCGCCGATGTATTTGGAAATCTGTTCAGTTGCCTGTATGCTATCAAATCTGCTGAAGATTGCAGATTCATTTCCCTTTTAACAGTCATGAGATTAAGAGTATAATCGGAGAGTTTTTGTGTTTTTCTGCGACGGGTCTTGCAGAACTTAACTTCGACCGCATGGAAAATTTCTGCGAGCTTTTCATTCATATCCTCTACTGCATTGCAGTTTTCTAGACACTGAAGACGATTTGTTACCTGACCTGAAAGTTTATGGTGCTTTGGATTAGAGCACAATGGGAACGGAGCGTTGGCTTCATTAGACGTGACCTCTCCAAATTAACGTTTACGTACAGTGTTCCTTTCACCATTCGGTGATCTGCTGCCAATTTTTACTCTCGCAATCACTGAGACTTCCCTGAACAGTTGCCATATAGCTATCATAATGAAGTCTATCTCACTTTTTGTCGAACTATTGGGGCTCGACCTGGTCCGCTTTCTGTGAGGTCGCTTCTGGAAGAAAGAGTTCATCATAAAGAGTACCTTTTTCTCCATAAAGTCGACCAGCGATTGGCCCTTTGAGTTCTGTTGCCCTACCCGAATTTCCCTACCTTCAGCTCATCGTTCTTTCTGTACCTAGTTTTGCGTTGAAGTGTCCCATTAATACCTTTTAGTAGGTTTTGGAGGAATGCATGACTCTATATACATTTCATCCACGTCCTCATCGGGATGTCCGAGGTTTCGGGATGTGCCAAGGTTGGGGCGTAAACCTGTATGAACTGCAGCGAATACCGTTTGGTGATTCTGAGTATAAGGTACGTATCCCTCGTCGATACACTCCCAATCTTTACAAAGTTTTTAACGAGAGCATTGTGGACGATAAATCCGACACCTCCTTGTGATAGTATAAGTTGCCTGATTCGAGGATTACCGTGTCCTCCCCCTCTCTTCGGACCTCAGATATTCCTATAATATCCCAGCGCAGCATGTCTATCTCTTCTACCAGCTCCAGTATCTTGTCGTCAGTTCTTAGGATGCGTGCGTTATACGTTGCCAGGGCGAGTCATCTTAGGTGGCAACCGGATCTCCACCGGAGGTTCTTAGCACAACATGCCCCACCGTTACCATGGCCACCACCGTAGTCAGGAATAGTGGCGTCGGGGCGTGGGCTGGGGGCTGGGGGCCGTCTCTTTGTAACAATCACTATGTGGGGGTATATGGCCGTAGTTGCCACGCTTGGCGAGCGGGTTGGCAACCGCAGTTTTTTTATTGTTATTTTGCTGCTGACCATCTTCTGTCTAAGTCTCCCTCTGACACCTCCTACGACACCCACGGGAAGATATGGGGTAGTGGATATTCATACACAGGATGTATAACCAGATTTAAATAAAGGTATGACGTAACTAACGAGACTAGGCGAGAGAGGGCGCGACTGTGCTCATGTTTACATTGGCTCTGCTATATAAATGTGCTTTATTAAATCTAAAAGCTTGTAAATGAAAGTGTAATAGTGATAAACACCTGAATTAAGTTGTGAATTCTTCGGGCAAATGTTATGTGCTTCACAAAATTGATATTCACGTACAAATATCCGAAAAACCGTTGAGAGTTAAACTCAAAGCTAGACGCTTCTATTGTGAAATCTTGAAGAAATCAACACACAAGATCAACAGCTAGACCGGTTATTGAAATCCAAACAAATAATAAAGGTAAAAAAAGAGGTTTGGCAAATCTAGTTTATGTTAATACCTCAAATTAAACCCAGGAAAAAAGTAAAAGTCATTGCAATCAAAATACTCACAATAGCGCCATCTATCGGTAAACAACAGAACTATCTACACGATACGATTCAAACCTTGTGCAAGCAAGTGCAAGCGCAAGCAATTAATACTAAACATTTTGTTGCAATTCCAATAGAGGGCGTGTTTTTGTACGTTTACAATGGAAGAGGTCATAAAAATTTTACAAAATATACAAAATGACATATCAAAAACCAAACAAGAAATGAAAGAGATGGAGCTAAATATCAAAGAATCTATAAATAATAACATAGACGAAAAATTTCTAATTTTTGAAAATAAAACAAAACAGTTAGAAATGAAAATTGAACAACAACAAAAAACTATAGAAATCTTAGATCTTAGCAGCTCAGAAGAAAAAATGTTATATTTTTTGGGATCGAAGAAACAGAAAAGGGGTATGAAAGTTTACTCTCCATTGTTTTAGATATCATTAATAACAAGATGAAAATACCTTGCCATAAATGGGAAATTGAACACGTTAATAGGATGGGGAAAAAATCAGGAAAAGTCAGACCAGTGATTGTCACAATAACAACAACAAGCAGGAAAATAGAGATACTTAAAAAGAAAAAAATCGCTAGAGGGTACGAATATTTATCTGAAAGAATATTTTACACCTAGCGTCTTACAAAAACGGAAAGAGTTACAAGAAGACCTTAAACGCGAAAGAGAGTCAGGAAAAAGAGTGGCTTTACGCTACGACAAAATTGTGACACTAAAACCACTTGAATCCGAAGTACATACACACACAGAAAGAAACAGAAACATAAAGAAACGTTTTATGTCTAAGTCGCCTGAAGAATCAGAGAAAGAAACTGCAAAAGAATATGACCACGAAAGGTCAAAACAAGTACCAAAAAAAAGTAAGCCACACACCATAACCAGTTTCCTACGCCCATCGCAGCTGAATCTCAATAATCGAGCAATACCAACTGAAAATGTGGAAGATCTTTCAAAAAATTAATAAGCGCCTCTTCAACCTCTCTACCTCCCCCAAGCCGGCTGGTCATCGTGAAGGAGTCAGACCACTACCTCCTAAATCACAATAAAAAACACTCAAACAAGATTAGAAACAAAAACATAAACAAAAAACAAAAACCACAAAATCTCTATATAGCAAGTATTAATGTAAGGACCTTAATATCGGATATCAAAATAGAAGAATTAAAATACGCTGTTATGTCAATAAAATGGGACATTATAGGTTTATGTGAAATAAGAAGAAAAAATGAAGCAATAGAGGAACACACCGATTTTATATTATTTCATACATGTGGGACAAACGGAAGAAATGGAGTGGGATTCTTGATTAAAAAACATTTAAAGAATAATATAGTGAATATAAAAAGTTTCTCGGATCGGGTGTCATTGCTTGAAATACAAACATCTGATAACTCTACCTGGTCACTCGTCCAATCATACGCCTCCACAGAGCAATGCACTAAAGAAGACATAGAACATTTTTATACAACAATGCAATCTGCCTTAGCCATCTGCCAATTCTATTCACACAAAAAATATAATTTTACTTGGAGACTTCAATGCAAAAATTGGGAAAGCTCGAAAAAACGAAGGAAAGAATATTGAACAATACGCACATGGAAAAAGAAGCCCACACGGCCAGAGACTAGTAGAATTTGCACTCGTAAATGATTACTACTTTATTAACAGCATGTTCCCATGCAAACCACACAAAAAATGGACATGACGGTCCCCAAATAGTCAACATTTTAACGAAATTGACTACATATTAACGAATCAACCGACCAGTATAAAGAATTTCGATATAATAAAAAACTTAAACTTCAATTCTGATCACAGGATGATAAGATGTGAAATATCATTAAAATCAAAAAGAAGGAAGCTAAACTCTGCCGTCTACACTAGAGAATCAATAGATGTTTCAGAAGACAACATTAACTACTGGAGAAATAAATTTATAGAAGCGGTTAGTACACAAACAGAGGTCCAAAAACAATATGATAAGTTAGAACATGAGTTGCAAGAGTTTTTGAAACAGCTGCCACGGAAAAAGAAACATGTAAACAAATATATAAACGAAGAAACAAAAGATCTCTTAGAACAGAGAAAAGAATTATACAAGAAGAAAAGAACAAAAGAATTAAAATGTGAAATAACAAGAATAAGCAAAAAAATTAACAGAAAAATTACCCAACAAAAAAAGAAGAATACGACAAAGGACATTCGAAAAATTCATAGGTAAGACAGGGGCTCTACGTAAAGCTTATAAAGAGTTGAACGACAAGTCAGAGTGGACAGGAAAACTGAAAAACAAACAGGGAATTATGCAATCACGACGTCCTGATATCATAAACGAAGCCACACAATTCTATAAAAGGCTATATACCACCACAGATAGCCGCTGCTCCTTCTTAAGTGAAAAAACAGACGATTATAATACATTGAATGCAAACACAGAAACACCAATCATTCTCAGATCAGAAATCGAACACACAATAAAATCTCAAAAAAAGCGACAAGACTCCAGGAAGTGACAATATAGCTAACGAAGTTCTTAAAGCGCTAATCGCTACACTTTTGGAACCTCTTCAAACATTGTTCAATAACATACTTAGAACTGAAAACACACCAGATCAATGGTCAAAATCTACAATCATAATACTGTTCAAAAAAAGGAGATAGAAGTGATCTAGGGAACTATAGACCAATCAGTCTCATGTCAAATTTATATAAAATTTTTTCAAAGATCGTATTAAATAGTATAACAAACAGTCTAGATGAAAACCAACCACGGGAACAGGCAGGCTTTCGAAAAAGTTACTCGACTGTAGATCACATACAAGTTATAACCCAACTTATTGAAAAAACAAAGGAATATGGGAAGACGTTATATATTATGTGTTTTATAGACTACACAAAAGCATTCAATTCTTTACAATTCGAAGCTATATGGACATCACTTATACAACAAGGTGTCAATCAGAAATATATAAATATTATTAAGAGTATATATACAAAATGTCTCGCTAAAGTGCGCCTAGAACAGGAAGGTACAGAATTTCCTATACAAAAAGGAGTAAGGCAGGGAGACCCTATCTCCCCCGAAGTTATTTTCAGCGGTGCTCGAATCTATTTTCAGACGTCTAAATTGGGAAAAGAAAGGAATACAGGTAGATGGAGAACTACTGAACCATTTGCGTTTCGCGGACGACATAGTGGTCTTCGCAGAAAGCGCTATTGAATTGGAGAATATAGTGTTCGAACTAGCAATGGAAAGTAAAAAAGGTGGGATTGTCAATGAACACGATGAAAACCAAGATTTTAACCAACGGACTACCTCAGGATATTAGAATAGCAAATGAAAATATTGAATATGTAAAGGAATATGTATATTTAGGACAGCAAGTGTCATTCGTAAACAATACAGAAAAAGAAATAGAAAGAAGGATAACTCTAGCCTGGAAGAAATACTCGGGATTGAAAGAAATAATGAAAAATAAAGATATTAGTATAAATATAAAGAAAAAACTCTACGAAGTAGCGATATTGCCATGCCTGACATATGGCTGCCAGACGTGGTCACTGAGAAAAGAAGACGAAGAAAATATCGCTATATGTCAACGTAAAATGGAAAGAAGCATGCTTGGTCTAAAATCTCAGATAAGGTTAACAACGTCCACATCAGGAAAAAAACAAAAATAATGGATGTAAGAAAAAGAACAAGACTACTGAAATGGCACTGGGCAGGACACATCTGTAGAATGAATGATAACAGATGGACCAAGCGTTTAACAGAATGGATACCAAGAGACAAAAAAAGAAAAAAAAGGGAGACCTAGTAAAAGGTGGAGAGATATATTTAATCAGAAATGTGGAGCGCTATGGATGCGAGTGGCTCGGGATAGAGATATGTGGAAAGGTTTGGGAGAGGCCTACGCCGCAGAGGCGACTACTACTAACATTAACTAAGTCATATTTAAACATACATTTTTATACATACATTTTTATACATACATTATTTTACGTAAAAAAAATACATATTAACTATTCTCTACTATTATTACCTACATTATTCATAAGTCAAGTTTGTATTGTAGTAGAAATAAAGGCTATTTTATTATTTATTTTATTTATTTATTTATGACGTAACTATGTTTCATTAAATCAGGAAACACCAGATTCGATATTAGTAAAAATAGCATATTAAATTGAAATAGCAAGTTGTGGCGCCATTGCATCTATTATAGACTAACGGAAATCCTTCTGTTTTTAAATATTTTACAATAACTCCTGATAATATTTTATAAAATGAAAATTATTTTGTGCAGACATTTACATTTTGCTTGAGTAATGACACGGCGATAGTAGGAAAGGAATTCAGTGACTTTGTAGTCAGTATCGGAATGTTCGTAAAATATTGTTCAAAAGCTGATGCAACATCTTGATCTGATTTTGTTAAATTATTCTTAAAATTCGACTGAAAGTCGGAGTTTTAAAGTTTCATTTTGCCAGTTATTGATTAAACTCCGCATCTCGCTATGGATACGCTCGGATATTAGTGGCATTACGTTAATAGATTGAATTTTAAATTATAAGGCGTTGATAAATCCTACAGAATAGTTCAATTTTTTTAATGGATAGGGTAACAAACGAGCACACAGTCCACCTGATGGTAAGTGGTTTCTGCGACCCATAGACATCTACGTGTATCCTCGATTACAAAACAAAATGCAGATGCGTTGTCACACGTGAGGACTAAGATGGATCGCCTCGTTTCCGGTAAAAAGGCTCTCCAGTTCTCTAAACTCACCATAGGAAATACACCATTAAGCTACTATTTCACGCTGGTATTCTGTGAGAGCGTGGTCCTTCCCCGGTTGAGCCGACCCATTCGTGCTACAACTATACTACTAATATAACTGCAGCATGGCTCTATCACGTAAAACGATAAAAACAAATAATTGTGGTGTGTAACTTGCGTTATTAGTTTTTGTTTCTTTTACCTCTAGACTTAGCAAGGTGTCGGGACGTATAACAGTGGATGGAGTGTGTGCGGAGCAAGCAGGTCTCCGAGCGTGGCGCTCGCGTCTGTGCGCGCTGCCGCAGCGTCCCGCATTGTTCGCCGCCACGCTGCGTGACAATCTGGACCCCGAGGGCCGCTATACCGATGCCCAGATATACGGCGCCCTAGAACAGGTGTGTACCGTACACGTGAACTGCAGCCACAACCAGAACACGTCATCATCACCAGCTAGTACACAAGTACTCAGTGACAGTTTACGATCGCAATCTAGAATATTCCACACTATACGGATGGCGAAGACTAGTCACAATAAAAGAACGTGATTATTACATTATCAAAAAATATTTGAATATGTTATTAGTTATTACGCTGTGTTATTTTTAACTAATTAGATCATTTTTTATATTATTATCACATCACTACTCAAACTTAAGAGCGGCAACATAGCGATCGTTCCTAGTTTCAGATGTATATAAAGTACTCTGTGATTCAAAGTTACATTCCCGTAGGAGGCTCGGTTTGCAACTGTCCTTTTTTTGTATTTCAATATCATTTTTTGTTAGATATTCTTCGTTAGACCACAGTATAATAAATAAAGACATACTACTGTATACCGACGCCTTTGATCTCGTGGTAAATGCCGACAGTGTCTGGATAACGCAGACAACACTAGGGTTGTCACAAGTTTACAAATTTTACTAATTTAATTATTTATTTTAGATCTACATCGTCATTAACAGTCGTGGGTTGGTAAAAGTAACGTTGGTATAGCTGTTTTCTTCAGTAATTTCTTCCCGTCCAAACTCTTTTCGAAATGCAAACTGCAAATGTATATATTTTTTAGACTTTAGAAAGTTCTTCCAACTACATCAGGTCTTCCAATAACTTCCACCCATAATTTGCATCTGAAATTTTAAATACAATAACTATTAATAAATTTTCGTAATTGTCACCTCCAGAAACCTCAAAATTGACAGTATCATATTATTTAAAAAAAAACCATTTTGGATTTCAAAATGGATTCTATTTTCGTAATCAGCACCCCAAGACACCTCGAAATTGATACCCATATCATGTTATTAAAATATGACCGCCATCTTGGATACGAAAATGGATGGAGGTTTTTTTATTCATCACCTCGAGAAACCACAAAGTTGACATCTATAACATTAAAAAAATTGACCACCACCTTGCATTCGAAAATATATGCCATTTTCGTAATCAACACCCCAAGAAACCTCGAAATCGACATCGATATCATACATATATTAAAAAATGACCGCCATCTGGATTTTAATGAAAATTTAGCGGCTAGTACCTATTTTTTATGTCCGCCATTTTTTTACGTTGGCAATTTGGCATGACATAACAAAATATACACAATATAAAATTATAATACCAATATTTATTAACCTTTCTTCCGTGTGCGGAATTTGGTGAAATCGCAGATCCTTATTTATGCAATCTCTCACGGCACAAGTCGTATGCACCATTTTGATTATAAGTAGCTACACTAAATTTAACAATAATAAAAGCAAACACGTGTTAACCCTGGAAGTCGTGTCCCGAGTTAATAATAAATTTGGCTTAAGCAAATCGGGCTCGGACTTCCCGCGTCTCACTCCGCACGCCCCGCACGATTGTCCTGTCTAGACGTCTTCGTCGGACGACTTTATGGATTTATAGACTTTGGTTAGACGCTATGCGGGCTGCACTGCTATCGCCGTGACGCTATGCGCTTTCGCTCACGACAATTACGTGTGTAAAAGATAAAAAAACCGTGTTTGTAGTTTTTTTTACAATTATCGCTTTCTCCTAGAAAATCATCGATCACGTCAAAAGCAAACCAAATGGGCTTGTAAATTTTGTCGCTGCTTACTCCAGACTTCCTTTCAGAAACCTTCTCCTTTTTCTTATAATTTCTATAACTGGACATCAGACTTTCTTTTTTTCAATCAGTCACTTCAACGTTTTTTGTGGCAGAGCTATGCTGCAGTTATATCTAGCCCGTTCGTCCAACTGACGCTCATTTTGAAGCACCGTCCTCCGTAAAAAATACAACCTCACGGAAACGAGTCTCGCGCGTTACTGATTTCACGCGCGAGTGTAGATATGCTAGCGTTCACGGGAGGTTCACGCCTTGTAAACCCTTTTGGCGGCTCCACATTATCGAATTCACGGCACAAATCGTGCCCCGTACATTCACGGGATGCTCACAATCGTTCATGAAACCCGCCGCGAAATGGACGTAGAAGCTGCTTCTGCTATAACTTTATTTACCGTGACAACATATCACTATTTAGACGTTCAAAACAAGACATTTATTAGAACGTTGAAAAAAATTAGAAGATGGTGTAGGACTAAAATACATAGTCCGTTCGCCTTTGTAGTCCGAAACGAACTGGCACGGGGCCGTGAATGTGGATGTGTAGGCGTGAACGCCGCGCGAAGGATGCGTGAATCCCTTGTCGCGGGACAAAATACCGACTCTGACCTCGGCTCCATATTATCGCCGTGACACTCCGTGAATGTGGATGGAATGTGGATGGTTTTTGCGGGATTCACGCGCGTTCGAGCCTGTTCCCCGATCAGAGTCGGTATTTTGTGCCCGCGTCAAATGGCGGCTCCACATTGTCGCCGTGAAGCTCCGTAAACAGGCGTGAACGTAATTTGGATGGTGAAAAGGCGCGAAGCCCGTGAACGGGCGCGAAAACCATCCACATTCGCCGTTCACGCCTTTCACAGGTGTTCACGGCGCGAATGTGGAGGCGCTTTAGGCGTCCCCCATAGATTTACCATAGTTGTCACGGTTGCCAAACGGATTGGCAACCGCAGTTTTTTATTTTTAGTTGTTATTAGGAAGACTCTGCTGCTCATCTCCTGATTTGTTTCCCTCTGTCGCCTCTTACAACACCCACGGGGTTAATATGGGGTAACGTGTAGTGGTGGTGTAAGCATATATTATTATGATTAACAATAATTATATGCTAACTGCGGTGTTGGCAGGTGGAGCTGCGGGAAGCAGTGTCAGCGATGCCCGCTGGTCTGATGACGCGCGTGGGCGACGGCGGCGGCAACCTGTCGTCTGGGCAGCGGCAGCTCGTGTGCCTGGCGCGCGCCGCGCTCGCCAACTGCGCCGTGCTCGTGCTGGACGAGGCCACCGCCAACGTCGACACAGAGTTAGTATCCTCACCCTCGCACCGTCGCAACTCGTAATGATCAGCATTGCAGCCCTCGACAAGTGCATAGCTGAACAGGCCTCACCAAAGGACTGCTAATAGTTCTGAACTACTTGGATGTTTGCTAAACTATGTTTCGAACGAGTGGAAAAACAGGCGGTGACGTTTACGCAAGTTACATAGGTAACCAACCTTTTTTGGCGTGGTTCTATAAAATTTAAAGTCTTTCAATCGTATCAATACGGGAAAACGAGCTACATCTTTACGCTCGCTACAATGGTGACCAACTTTTTTTGGTATGGTTTTATTAAATTCAAAGTATCAATCTTATCAATGTCAGAAATATAAAAAAGCACATTATAATTAATAGAATCAGGCGTTACTTTGCGGAAGTCCATTATAATAAAGATATTAATAGTTCATTTGCAACCATCCGCTGAATAAAATCGTCTTCAAACTAGGTAAGACACATAATTTTATTTTATTTTATTTTATTCAGCGGATGATTGCAAAGTAACTATTAATATCTATCAAACCGGTTTAAGAATATATATATTTTAAAGCACATTATAATTATGTAAATACAACAAAAACTTTTATGTATACTACTAGACCGGCAATTCAGAACAAAAACTGTCAAAGCTGTGGATCGCGAGGAGTGCGGGCGCGGGCAGGTAGCCACCGTGGTATATATGCCACGCAGTTATATTTTTATTTACGACAGGTACTTTTTATAGGAAAATACTAAATAAAATTACATACTTATTAAAAATAAACTACAAATCATATTGCTAAAGTGCGCACTCAAAATAATTACAGCGTTTTCTTCGTCACATTAAACAAAATCGTTGTTAGATTGTCGCAAACAATGTACGCGGTTTAGAAAGCAACAAACCAGTCTACTTGCTAGCTCACAGTCGATTTAAGAAGTTATGGAGATTTGGCCGTAACTTGTGCACAATGTATTAATACCGTAGTGCTCGTTTAGTACATAGAATACTGATTGAAAGTGATAATGACCATCATTACTATGCGATTCAAATAAGAATAGGACTGATCTAGTGCCTTATTGTGACGTCATAGCTGTCAATTCAAACCAGTTAGGTAGGGTGAGCAAAACAGATATTTTTCGAATAATATTTATTTGCAATTAAATACAAAATTACCATGAAAGAAAAACTTTTAATCGGAATCTAGCACTTAAATCCCGCTCATCTCTGCATCACTATCCGAGTACACACTAAAAACATAATACTTAATACTTACTTACTTACTTAATTATCTTCACGCACAATCCCTAACGGGGTAGCCAGAGAGAACAGATCGCCAAGTGTCACGATCCTTACATACCTCTTTCGCTTCTTTCTGGTTCATTATCTTCTTCATACATGCACGTCTAGGTATCCGAGTACTCTTGACCTTCCCCTCTTCGAGTAATTTGCTCACATGGTCTTCGAAGGTTAGTCTCGGTCTACCTCGACACCTTTTAATATTTACTTTCGCGCTATATATTTTCTTCACCTTTCGGTCTTCACTCATTCGCTCAACGTACCCAAACCATCGGAGTACGCCCCTATCAATTTTTGAGATAAGGTCATCTTTCAATCCTGCAATATTGCGAATCTCTTTGTTTCGCTTTCGGTCGGCTATGGTAACGCCGCACATTTTACGAAGAGATCGCATCTCCACTGCATTCAACTTGCTTTTATGCTTCTTCTGGCATACCCAGGTTTCGCTGCCATATAACAAAGTCGGTACCAACACTGCGTTATGTATAGCAAGGCGTGAACTCTTCACTACGCCTTGCCTTTTGACTAATGCATTCAGGGCACCATTGATTTTGTTCCCGGCAGCGACACGCCTATCCACATCTAAATCCCATCTTCCATCCCGGCTGAAAGCACTCCCCAAGTATACAATTTCATTTACCTGTTCTAGACATTCCTGATTTACCCATATTTCACATTTCCTTCTCTCTTCGTCCTTTTCAAATACCAGAACCTTAGTTTTATTAGCATTCAAACGGAGACCTTTAATTTCACATTCCTCTTTCATACACGTGACTAATGCCTGCAGTTCTGCTTCTGATGGTGCAATAAGCACTGCATCATCAGCATACAGCAGACAATTTACTTTAATGTCACCCAATTTCACACCCAAACAGCTATTTTTCAGCTTCTGTAAACAGCTATCGAGATACAGTATGAACAGCCAGGAAGACATGACACAACCCTGTTTTACGCCCGCTTGGACGCTAAACATGGGTGACAGGTCATGCTCTATCCGCACACAGGCTTTACAGTCATAGTAAAGTGACTGCATAGCCCTTAACAATCGACCATCCACATCATATTCCGGCAATAGTTCCCACATTTTTTTCCTTATAACCTTATCAAATGCTTTCTCCAGATCCACAAAAGCACAGAAAATCCTCTGTTTAACAGCCAAAAGCTTTTCCGTGATCATGCGGAGAGAAAACATTTGATCCGTGCATCCTCTTCCAGGTCTAAATCCGCATTGTGCCTCCCATAAGAATCTTTCCGATTTCTCTTGCATCCTACGTGTCAAAACCTTCGAGTAAACTTTACTTGCTAAACTGGTCAAGCTGATCGCCCGATAGCACCCGCAGTCAAAATGTGAACCTTTACCTTTATATAAAGGCACAATGACCGTGGATCGCCAGTCATCCGGGACACCTCCCGTCCGCCAACATAAGTTGCACAGCAGATGAAAGCTGCCCCAGACGAGCGGCCCACCGTACTTGACCATTTCAGCAGTAACTCTGTCTACTCCCGCAGCCTTACCACATTTCAAACTTCGAATCGCACGTTCAATCTCTTTCATGCCGATGATCTCAGTATCATCGAGGTTTGGCGTGCCAGTCACGGCGTCATCCCCGGATCCTTCACTAAGATCATGACACGCATACATTTCTTTATAAAATTCGCTCCATCGCTGCATGACGTCCAATTTTTCTGAGAGGATGTCATTGGTTTTCGAAAGCACTTTGTTCATTCTTAAGGCTGTCGCACCACTCCGGGACCTTCCAACCTCTTTCCAGAATAGTTTGGAGTTTTCCTTAAAGTTGTGCGACAACCTCTCGTCCGCTTCTATTCTACACCTTTCACGTACATCCTCAATCAATGTTTTCTGCAGCTTATATCTTTCTTTCATCTTCTCTCTCATATGCTCATCGTTACTAGAGGCCAAGTAGTATAACCATGCTTTTTTCTTCATCTTTACAGCTTCTCTCACTTCATCATTCCACCATGCATCTCTTCTTTTACTACTACCTCATTTTGTCGTTCCACATACTTCTTCCGCTGCACTTACCATTCCATCCCTAAGGTTCTGCCATCTTCTTTCCATTCTTTTCTGCCATCGATAGTTTCAAGCTTTTCGGCTACCCTCGTGTGATATTTGCCCTTAGTATCCGCTTCCTGAAGCTTCCAGCTTCGGATGCGACAGACCGATTGTGGTTCTGTTACTGCCGTCCGGTAGCGCCGACCCACGAACAAATCCCTAAATCTAGTAATTACTAGATAATGATCCGTTCCCAGGTCAGCACCCCTGAGCACTCGTGTATCCATCACCTGTTGTCGCAGTCGGTCATCCACCAGGAACAAATCTATCATACTTCTCTCATTCTTTCTTTATCTAGTGTACATATGGATTTTCCTGTGATTAAACATAGTGTTTGTCACAAGAAGACCCTTTTCCTTGCATACAGCCAGTATAAACGTGCCAGAATCATTAACCCTTTTATCGCCAAACTTTCCAAGCACCGACTCGTACCCTGGTCGAGCGATACCTACCCATCCATTCAAATCACCACATACAACAGTTCTTTCGTTTCCCTTAACCAAATCTTAATCTTATAGAATTGAATATTTATTCTAAAACCAGTAAAGAATGTAAGGTAATTCTCATTGAATGGCTCAAACGAAAACACTATCACGAAATAGAAAATTTGTTAAAATAACACGACTTACAAAACACACACACACACACACACACACACACACACACACACACACACACACACACACACACACACACACACACACACACACACACACACACACACACATTATTATTAAGGAAGAGCGAGTTTTTCCTGTCACAAGTATTTAAAAATACTTAAAAGAAGAACTCTAATATACTGCTATGATTGTTAATTTTTTGTTACAGAATAAACATTTTTGAATTTTGAATTTTGAATCTAGAACTTCTCTTACATTTTCCAAAAACTCCTCCAGCTCAGCCCTGGACGACGAAGCTACCGGCGCATAAACATCCAAAAGGAATAACTTCGTCAGTACCAGTTTAAAGCGAACCCAGAGAAGTCTTGAGTTCACAACCTTATATTCAGTCATAAGATCGACCAACCGGGACGACAACAGCACCCCCACTCTCTGGCAGGCGTTCTCGCTTTCCGGGACTCCGGACCATATAGCTAACGTCCCGCCAGGGAGCTCTTCAGTACCACTGCCTTTCCGTTTGGTCTCCGACATACACACGACATATAATTCTCTTTCTTTCATTATTTCAATCAACTCATTCGTCTTATCTCTCATGCCCCCTCTAACATTCCACGTGCCAACTGTGCACTCCGTCCTCCACCTTCCGCCGTGTCGGGCTGTGCGTGACGGGTGGCGGTCCCCATCGCCGCTTTGCGCGCTGCATTCCACACCAACGGTGACGAGCTGGTGTGCGTCGCCTTGGGGGGACGCCCTAACCCTCGTTTGCATGGGTGCGCAGCTGTGTAGAATTCCAGCCCTGAAAAGGGCTGGCAGGGGTCGCGACGAGCACGCTTCTACAATGACCCCCATATACAATAGCAGTACTAAATTAAAACACTATCAAATAAACAAAATCAAAACTATCCAAAGCACACTCTAGAGCGGAATGAGCTATGCCTTGTCCTTACTCAGATTGTCCCCTTGTGCGAAATTCTTAAACCGGTTTGTTATTCATACCAGCTATATGTTCTTTTACGCGGGTTCAATTAGAACCCGCGTAAAAGAACATATGGCTGATGTGAAGCATCAACGTTCTAGGAAGTCTGCAGTGTATGACCATATCCTAGACGGCCCCAACCATTACATCAGATTTGATAGACCACAAATCCTCGCGCAGGAACACCGATTCCTACCAAGGATGATACGTGAGGTTATTGAAATTAAAAAACATCCTAATTTCAATAGAGAAAGAGGCTGGGTACTACCACCTGCTTGGGAGACATCAATAAAATTAAAACTAAATCCAAGCATACCACTGCAAGACCTCAAGAAACAGTCAGTTCATTTTGCATAGATCGGACCATAAGCAATAATTAAAAAAAGCTGAAGGTACTCCGGGTTTAACAATGACATCGGTACGTCAGTCACCTCAGTGCTCCGTGACCATGGGTGCTGGAAAGCGCCCGAAACGTCAGGAATAAAAAATAAAAATAATTTAAATTCAAATTAAAGGCGATAAAATCCGTAAAAGTAGTTTTAATCAATGTGTAGTGTTCGCGTAAATATAAGAAATCATTGCGGTTTGTCTCTCATTGCATCTGTGAACAACCACGTCGCTCATTGCACTCCGTATAGGTCGCGTCACGGATCGCGGTTTAATAGCGCTGACCTTGAATGCGCAGAAGTCGATTTTTAGATCTGTTTGGCGAGAGGAGAGAGGAGGGAAGAGCCGTGGTAGCTCAGATGGTTAACGCTCGCTGTAAATATAACAGAACGCGAGTAACCCGGGTTCTATCCCCGCCGGCACCAATTAAATTGTTAATTGCAATTTTAAGTGCTGATTTACCACGTGCTCGGCGGTAAAGGAAAACATCGTGAGGAAACCTGCATGTCTGAGGAATAAGAAAAAAAATATTTCGAAGACATGTGAAGTTCGCCAACACGCATTGGGGCAGCGCGGTGGACACTTCCTTGTCCTCCCTTCAAAAACCCTCTCAGAAATGAGGGGGGGTGCCGGTGCTCAGCAGTGGGACGTATATAGGCTGTAACCTTACTTTAGTTGGCGAGAGGAGTGAGGTGCGATGGGAGAGATACTCGGGGCCGGCGTTCTATTGGTTGCTCACTCGCCTTCTTCACGCCTTGCTCCGTTAACGTACGTAGAATCAGTTACAAAGCCCTCACAGTACAGTCGCGTATATCACTATTTCTATACGTTCGATAATCACTTTTTTATTTCTAGTGTGAAAGATGCCGACAAAAAAGTGTTAACTAGGTAAGCTAGAAAAATGGTGTACGACGTGAATTGGTTTATTAAAAAAGAGACAATTGAAATTATTGGTAATATAAAACACAACAGCAGGAGCGACTTTAACACTAAAAAATTGGATACGACTAATAAAAGCTTAAACCACATCAAAAATCGGATAACTAGTGATGCTGATAAAATAATATTAGTTGGAATTTGCAATCTAATAAAGCGAATTCGAGAGAAAACTGGAGAAGCTAGTTTAAAAAATAAAAATAAATTACAATCGATCATTAACAATTTAAAACAATGTTAGAAACGGACAGCACTTGCTACAAAAACGTCTGTATGCACTGTTAGAAATATTATGATACAAGCAGATGATTCCGACTTGATTGCAGTGTTTAGAACACCTGGAAAGAAAAGGTCGATAGTAAAACCAGTAACTGACATTGACAATTTTGACCAGAGTGTGGTAAAAAGGTGCATCCACAACTTTCATCGGACTAATAATTTGCTTCCTACTGTTGAGAAACTAAGGAGAAAATTACAGGAAGATATTAATTTTCAGGGATCGCAATCAAGCCTCAGTAAGATAGTTAAGGGTTTCGGTGGAAAAAAAAACTGAACAGAAAAATTGTCATTGACATGTCCAATATACGTCTACAGCGGATTGAGTACCTAAAAAAATAAAGAAATACCGTCAAGAGGGATGGCCTATTATATTCACAGACTAATCGTACGTTGATTCGTCTGATTCGAACCCCAAAGCTTGGACAGATGATTCTTCACAGGGACTGAAGCAATCGATAACAAAAGGCCAACGCGTGGTGATCATACATGCTGGCTACGAAGTGGGTTTTATCCTAAACGCTTTGCTCACTTTTAAAGCGGGCTGATAATCTGGCGAATACCACGATAATATGAATTATAAAAATTATGAAAAATGGATTCGAACTCAATTATTGCCCAACATTCCAACAAATGCTGTCGTGGTGATAGATAACGCTTCATATCACAATAAACAGTACCACCTAGCGCCCACATCAAACTCAATAAAAGCCGATATGCAAGCTTGGCTCAGTGAAAAAGATATTTCTTGGATCAGTGAATAGAATATGATACAAATATGTTGAATCCGGAACTATACGAACTAATTAAAGCTAACAAGGAACGATTTAAAACATTTTCAATAGATAAAATTTTGGCCGAACAAAATCACAATATATTAGGATTGCCTCCCTACCACCTAGACCTCAACCCCATCGAGATAGTATGGTCCACCACCAAGCAATATGTGGAAATATAAATTATGCGGTTGAGTTTGTCAAAAAAAAAGTTAAATTAATGGGAGTGTGAGAATGGGAGTTGCTATGCAACAAAGTAAAAATTATAGGGGAAGAATACGCAAGAAGTGACCACGACTTTGACACTATAACAGAACAATTTATTATCCGTGTCAGTGATGACAGCTCGAATATTGACGATAGTCAAGATGAGGACGAAGATTACGAAATCTCAGACGATGATGAATAAAAGGCATTCTCTTACGAGTGCTTCCATCGTCTATTCTCAAGGTTTGACGAACGAAGATTTGATGGAAGGAATAACACCATTGCTACCATAAATATTTAGATTTTAATGAATACCTTTTTTTTTTTCTTCATAAAATATATAATTGTCAAAACGTAACAAATTAGTGCTATTTCTTTATTTGTCACGTTTATTTTATTTTTACCTGCATAAAAATTTCCAAAAAAGTTTAATTTATTTTAATTGCGAAATTTAATTATTAAAAACAAATTACATATAAATTCTTTCTTTAAATAAAGGATATTTGGTTCTTAGAATTTTATCCGCTTGCTATCCAATCACCTCTTCGTTAGAACAACTCCTCATAATTCTGTGCACGAATGTACATTTGCGCAGAGCGCCCCTCCACTTTCACCGAGCACTATTAAACCGTAACGCGATTTATACCAATAAACGCGTCGCTAAGCGTTAGCAATAAAGGAATGTATGGAAAGCGACAGGTATAGTTTCCCATCGACGCAAACATAATACGATGTGTTCGTTTTGAACAATATATCCTACGCTCTTGATAGTTTCCGGAGTAATCCGGAAGTTGTAGTCAAACTTCTGTGAAAAGAATATCATTGTCATCGTAAAAATAAATATTAATTTAGCAAAAAAACTTTAATAAATATATAACTTCCAGAACGGATAAACACATCCAGGCCACAATTAGGACCAAGTTCGCCAATTCGACGGTGCTCACCATCGCGCATCGTCTCAACACCGTCATGGACTACGACCGCGTCATTGTCATGGACAAGTGAGTAACGGGTATATATTTTTTGTAAAACTCAAGCGACAATCTAATTACATTCGACCTGACCCACTACAGTCCATACGGTAATAAGAGGCTACTTTAGTCTACGGATACCTTTAAATAATAATAAATATAAATTTAGCCTGTAACCAAAAATAAATATTATTTTATTAATTTATTTTGTATTACATATGTATAAGGAGCTTGTCTGTCGAGAGCGATTTTGATGGAACTACACGGCCAAATAGAGAGCAATGCAAGGATTTATATAGGCTATATTTCATTCGTATATATTTTATACACGCCGTATTTTATACGTGGTAGAGCCATGCTGCAGTTATATTAGTAGTATAGTTGTTGCACGAATGGGTTGGCTCGACCGGGACAGGACTACGCTCTCACCGAATACCAGCGTAAAATAGCAGCTTAATGCGGCTGTGTTTCTTATGGTGAGTGTAGAGAACCGGAGACCCTTTTTACTGGAAACGAGGCATTCTATCTTAGTCCTCACGGGTGACAACGCATCGGCATTTTGATTTGTAATCGAGGGTAGATGTAGATGTATACGGGCCGCAGCAACCACTTACCATCAGGTGGACTGTGTGCTAGCTAGTTACCCTATCCTATAAAAAATATGCGAAAAATATGTAGAATTTTTTTGTGATATTGTAAAACCTGATTTTTATTATTATCTTCTAAACAATAAGATATATGAAAACTTTCTAGGTATTAACAAAAGAACCTATACGTATTTTATCATTTGAATTTTATTATAGATCTGCATGTTATTTTTGATTTTAGTCTTTCGCAGAGGAATTTATGCGTAAAAACAAGGTTAATCATAAAAAGGAAAATAAATTATAATGTGTTCTTGCGATAGACAGAAATATTTCAGTTAGTATATGTAAAATCAGAATTTGAAATTAGCACGAAGAGGTTTTTGTCCATTAGTGGGCCTGTCTGTCTGTCTCTAGTGCAATTAAGATAAAATAAATAAATAAAATTTGTTGCAGAGGTCATGTGGTAGAATCAGGTCACCCTTACGAATTGTTAACACAAAGCATCGGTCAGAAAACAGAGCTTCCACCGAGGAGATCGCTGCTGTCTAAGAGTCAAGTAAGTATTTTTAAAATATTTTCCCCATAATAAATGATTATTATATAACAAATATAAACCTTATTTCAATATAGAGAAGGCTACGATTTCGTCTTTGAATTCAGCGCCACTTTGTGGGTTTCAATTTTATGATTTTCTTTTTTGCACTAAACCATCTAGTGAGAATATGACTCATTTTGGTCCATAAATATTGAATTTGATAATATTTTGTCTACAGCGATAGCTATCGGATTTTAACCAAGCTTAACTTAACCATTGTCTCTACAAAACTGTGTCAGATGGTTCAGAAGTTACACTATCACTAAAAGACGCACTTACGATTACATCTTATATAAAGATTGTGTGACAATAGGCAAGCCACTTAATATCCTGTTGGCTTAGATCATATAATGTCTGGATAAAGAATTGGGGGCAAATATACTTGAATAAAACACGTTACAAAAGTTACATTTCACCCCCACCGTATTTTATAAAATTGCGGTAGGTATCCGAATATTAAAGGTGTTATGCTGATGACGTCATATAATGCGGTGCGTTCGGAGCGTGCTGATACTCTATGCTGTCTAATGTTGCCAATTTAGCGGACTTTCCACTAAAACTGGTGGTTTCGACTATTCTTCTAGTGAAGAAATATTGTTTACAGTGGCTAGTGTTTTTTCTAATGGTTCAGTAGATTTAAGTTTCAATTAGTGGCAAGATGATCACTTCACCATTGATCCACTTTTAAACGTTTTGAAATATATTTTGCTTCGAGTGAGTCGTCAGACAAGATTCATCCATCAAATGCAAATATCTGTAAAATCGTTCATCATCTAATAAGTCTTTATACAATGTGTAATATTCTACATACAACTGCCTTTTTTAATTTAATGTTGTGAATAAAGAATCTTCTTTATCTTCGAATTTTATTTTCTTAGGGCTCTGGCTATTACAACATTTTTTTTTCATAGCCGATGTCGAGCGATCAATGTTACTGTACAGTTTCATTCAGTGGTAAGAAAAAACTGTAATAGTTGTTGGCAATACTAAAGATTTGAGTACGGCGCGGACGTGCCTTTTTGCGAGGCCATGAGTAAATGTAGCGCGTGCGGCGCCAATGGTGCTGATAATAAATGTGCATTCACCTTATATCTTGCCAAAATACTACATGGCCATGAAATAATATGCAAGTTACTTACTGTCGTGAAATATTTTATTTTTTTCTCAAGAATCTAAAGAAATAAAAATCTCAAGAATGAATGAATTAATTTTCAAAAACAATTTATTACTTTTTGACGTCATAACTATGCCATTAGTTATTATGAGTAGGATAGATTGTCAAGTAATATCTAGTTGATTCGGTATTGTATCGATATTATATGAAGTGTATTATCAACAGGCGCCTCTTGCCATCCCGGAAAACTTCCCCTACGACGCGACGTCTGAAAGGCAGGAAGAACTGAATGAGACCTTCATAGTCTCCAGAGATAGAATACGTACTTACTCCAATAGGTAAGAAATCCATAAAAATATAAATTCATAATTAATTTTGTCTTGGAATGGTTTTGAAAAGCACAAATAATATTACGTATTTAAGTAAAATAGTTCTGAAATTCAGTTTTCAATATCTCCTTTAATTTATTTTTAATTACATTTATTTTGTTTATATTTTTCTATTTCGTAGGTCTGAAATGAGCGATCAAGAGGGAGGAATATTCAAGGTCTTGGTTGAACAAACTGGACCAGAGACGGCCGCATTGCTTTATCAGATGGCGGAAGAGGTGATACTTGAATTTTATTCAATTAAAATTCCTATTTCATATTAATTCTTAGGTCAAACCAGTTAATAAATGTCGTGTAGTTAAAAATAAGGTTCCTTTTCAAACGAATAAAAGTCCGGTTCAGATGCATGCGTTATTATTGTCTATAGATTTTTGGTCCTTTGATGACCGGATTTTATGTTCTCATTTTTCTTTCGATTAAAAAAGTGTATTGTTATTATTTATAGAAATAAAGTGGTGTGTGGTGTAAGAATATCCACTACTACGTGGTATAAGAGGCGACAAAGGAAAACAAATCGCGAGATATGCAGAAGCGTCTTCCTGATATCGATTAAAACAAAAAATGCAGTGTCTCAAATTTAAAACCGAACTGCTTTGATAGTTTGCTTCTAATGCAAACAAGTGAAAAGAAGTAACACCGGTTTATTCTCTTACAGTATGAGTAACCTTAAATGTTTCTTTGCAGAGTTATAAAAAGATGCAAGAAGAGAATAAGAAAACCTCGTGAACGGTCATCAGTACATCATAAGAGTACGTTACATTCGGGAACATTTAAGTAAGATCGAAAATAAGAAATGTGCCTTCCGTTGAAGTTCCTCGAATTAAACTAAATGCGATTATTAGTTTGTAATATTCCAATTACGTTGTATAAGGCTGGACCTTATATTATGAATGAATTATTTTCATGGCCGTATGTTAACGTAAGTCGGAACAAGTATTAGTCGCCAATAGCCTGTACAAAGCATACTCTTAACTTCCTTTATGTTGTCACTTAGAATAAAGTTGCAGCCTATATACGTCCCACTGCTGGGCACAGACCTCCCCTCATTTCTGAGAAGGTGCGATATAAATACAATTAAGTTGTCAATTGTATTTATATCGCATTCATCATTATTTAAGTGACAATTGTATTTATATCGCAAACGCCAAGATATTTAGATAGGCGATTGTGCTACAAAGTATATTACGGTTGGGTGTTCAAGATGTTTCGAATAGCCTTTTGCTGTTGGAAGGGGAATGTACATGAGATGTTTTTGAATTTGTCTGAGTTACCTCGTTATACATCGCCTCGTGAATTTTCAAAAGCTTTTAGTTACCGTTTTATTATTGGACCCAGTGAATGAACGACTCGCCCATCTCGCTTTGTTAGTGTCGTAAGATGCGACAAAGGTCCTTGTGGCGTCCGATAGATGGCGACGGAAGTAGTGTCAAAAGTATCAGAAGTCTGGTACTGAGATCAAAAATGGAAGAGGAACCCGGTTTCCAGTATTCCAGAGGATATCATGTAGCCTACATCCATACTCTGCATACAAACTGATGAACAAACACTTGCAACTTATCCTTATGAGTGTATAGATGAAACAGGTCACTAAACGATCATCCATCAACTGTTACTGTTTTTAATAATTATTCGTCGCTGATTATGCCGGCGCAAATTATATAAAATAACTATTTAAAAAAGTATTATTTATATATATGTCTATATTGTACGTTTTATTTCTTGGTCTATCGATTGTTTATTAATGTACAATAATAAAAAAAAAAAATATATATATATATATATATATATATATTTCTTGGTCTGTCAATTGTTTATTAATGTACATACCTATATTGTCAATGCATTTACACGTGGTTACCGTTAGAAATGCTTATACAGATTAGAACAATAGATAATATTCATAATTTTATTTAAAAACGAATAATTTTAAATTCTAGTAATAAACTTATATAAATATTTCAAGGTTATTATATATTCATATTAGTTGTTTCGTTTGTTTACACTAACTACCAGTGTAATAAAACTACCAAATACAGAATTTTAGTTACACTGCTGCATTATAATATTGAATCTGAGAACTTATATCAGTTGTTTAAAAAAGAAATAGTTACTTATACAGCAAACTACTGTAATATCGTTTATTTTAATAATAGAAATAAAAAAGTGTTCATGAATTAAAAAATATATATATATATATATATATGTATATATATATATATATTTATATTAACTATAGAGTTACATTGAACTTAAATTATTATCTTTTTAAAATTCGAATAATGTTTAAGATTTTAGTGCATTTCTTAACACTTCTCCAGATAGTAAAAATATACGTTTTTTATAACAACAAAAAAGGCAAAGCGCTTAAAGTTTTTTTACTCTTTTACACTTATTGTTGAAGTTTAGCCAAAAAGGTCTAGTATCTCTTGTTATGTTATATCAATAGAAATGCATGTTATAAATAAGTTTTTACTGTTCGTACAGATTCCATGGAATGTTCACTATATTATACAAATTTCAGATGATTTTAAACTAGATGAAATATGGACTCATCAATTGAGATATTCGTTTGTGTTTGATTGGTCGCCGCAAAACGTGGCGAATATGTTTATCGACTATGTACGGATTGTTAAACATTTAGTAATTTCAAAGTGTGCTTATTAAGGTGCTATTGCGTTTTGGTTATTATAAAACAACTGAACAAATTAGGTAATACATAGTTCGATTATTATTTTAAATATTGTGTGTACTTATATGGAGAAACGTCTTTTTATTACAAAGTCTGGTAATAAAATTGCGTTTTATAATGTAATATTACTTACGAAAGTACTTACAATACTAGGAAAACAATGAAAAATTATTCTTTCAATGTTAAATATAATGTTGTATGTATTATACCATTCAAGCATAAAGCATACAATTACATACAAAGTTGTTTAAAGTTGATATTTTTGTAATATAACAGGAAGTCAATTTAATAAAACGAACAATAAAGTGATTTTAATGCAGTTATTTACATAAAATTTATAGTGCCTTTTAACATGTTTTTTTTTAAATATTGTAATAAATTTATATATTTATAACTATACATCTCATCTACAGGAAATATAATTATCTACGTTAACTTTTAAGAGTCGTTAAGGTTTATTAAATAGAATTAATTAAAAGAAGATGCTTAATTTAATTAAGTAAAATTGTGATAAGATATTTTGCCAGTATTTCGTTTTTATTTGTTTGATCGTATTGTGTCACTCAGTGAGTGTGCCCGAGGCATTCTTAAGCGAATTTATATTTGAATTTAGTATCAATTGTAAATGTATAGTTATTACATCATGTTGAGTAAATAGTGAATGTTTTGATTGCTGTGTCAGGCGTGCGCTGTAGGAACTATGTTGAACATTGTAATGTGCCTTGTCGCTGTACTTAATGTGATATTTTCCCAATATCAATATAATTAAATATATTAAAGAATAATATTGGTATTTTATGTTTTTTTTCTTTTAAGCTTATACGGACGTTTGACGAATTTAATCATATTATATGGGTATAACAAATATAGTATCTATAAGGAGTATATATAGCGATGGGTCGGCTCCACCAGACAACGCCAAAAACAACATAAAAAACTAATGCTGCTGTGTTTCGTATGATGAGTGTAGAGAACCGGAGATGCTTTTTACTGAAAACGAAGCATCCTCTCTTAGCCCTCACGGGTGACAACGCATCTGCATTTTTATTCGTAATAGAGCATAAATATAGATGTCTATGGGCCACGGAATCAACTTACAATCAGGTGGACCGTTTGCTCGTTTGTCACGCTTATTCAAGCGATTGGTAGCGATCACCCTATATATATATATATATATATATATATATATATATATATATATATATATATATATATATATATATACCTCAAATCTTGGATTGCGCTTTACAACAGTTGTGTTCTGGTTTAAGTTGGTTTACTTGTTTGAATGAATAAACTCTACCACCAACTACCAACTCTGGAGTAACAATAGCCAGTATTGGCTTCTCTACGTTTGTGTTGCAAAAAAAAAAACGCAATATATAGTTATCTTGGTGTAAGACCAAATAGTAAAATTATTCGAGGGTTAGTTACTCTGGTTTAACATAGTATTTGGTCGAATGCTTAATACACGGTTAAATAACCGTGTAATAATGTTATGGTATTTTTTAATATAATATTGTCCTTAGTTCTTGGAAAATTTCTTCCGAAGAGCTCGTATCTCTATAAATGTTTCCTCAGTTTAAGATCTTTGTAGAATATTTAGAGACGATACCAGGAGACCCGACGGTATGGGTTTGATTGCTTGAGAGAGAGAGAGAGAGAGAGAGAAAGATAGAGATATAAAAAGAGAGAGAGAGAGAGAGAGATAAAGCTTTAATGTGGGATACTACTTGCGAACACTTTGACAGCATTCCATCTCAGGGGTAGTTTAATCTTAATAATTTTTTAGTTGTATGGTCTAAGGGCTACGATGGCTATCTGAGTACAGAGCCAGAGTACAAAACTAATACAACTGTAGAGATGTGTAAGACAGGGTAACGTATGTTACGTTACCCTGAAATACTTTACCGGAAGACTTTTTCAAGCTACTGAACTGGAAAGGATACGGTATGAACGTAAATGGCGTGTACTTCACTCACCTCCGATTTGCCGACAATATAGTCCTTAAGGCAGAATCGCTGGAAGACCTACGCACTATGTTCAATGACCTCAATAGTGTCTCCCAACGGATAGGTCTTAAGATGAACATGGACAAAGCAAAAGTCATGTGTAATGTCCATGTCACACCTATGCCGGTGGTTTTTGGGAACACTTAGCTGAAGTTGTTGACGAGTATTTTTACTTGGGACAAATAGTCCAACTAGGTAAGTTCAACTTCGACCGACAGGTCAATCGACGGATTCAACTCGGCTGGGCAGCGTTCGGGAGATTACAACACATCTTCTCGTCAGTCAGTGTCAGTACCCTGAAATACTTTACCGGAAGACTTTTTCAAGCTACTGGACTGGAAAGGATACGGAATGAACGTCAATGGCGTGTACTTCACTCACCTCCGATTTGCCGACAATATAGTCCTTAAGGCAGAATCGCTGGAAGACCTACGCACTATGTTCAATGACCTCAATAGTGTCTCCCAACGGATAGGTCTTAAGATGAACATGGACAAAGCAAAAGTCATGTGTAATGTCCATGTCACACCTATGCCGGTGGTTTTTGGGAACACTTAGCTGAAGTTGTTGACGAGTATTTTTACTTGGGACAAATAGTCCAACTAGGTAAGTTCAACTTCGACCGACAGGTCAATCGACGGATTCAACTCGGCTGGGCAGCGTTCGGGAGATTACAACACATCTTCTCGTCAGTCAGTGTCAGTGATGACTTATGGATCTGAGACGAGGTCTTTCACTGCTGGCCGTATGAGGAAGCTCGAAGTCGCTCAGAGAGCTATGAAAAGGGCTATGCTCAGGGCTTCAAACTTAGGAATGAGGATATCTGCAGCAGAACCAGAGTGACCGACATCGCCTAATGGATTAGTAAGCTGAAGTGGCAATTGACCGGCCATATAGTTCGAAGAACCGAATACCGATGGGGAAAAAAGGTTCTCGAGCGGCAGCCTCGTATCGGCAGGTAAAGTGTAGGACGTACCCCCACTAGATGGAGTCAAAACCTGGTAAGCCATACAGGAAGTTGATGG